TGCTGCTGCTGCTGTTGCTGTTGTTGCTGCTGCTGCTGCTGCTGCTGCTGTTGCTGTTGCTGCCACTATATGCACACTTGCTTCTTGTCTGTAACCTTGGACACGAACGTGGTTGCCATGACAGCTAGTTCAATTGATCGTGGAAGCACCGGGTAACCTGATTGGTGCTGAGCTGGGGTCACTGTGTGTCAACTTGGCCCTGCATCCACGTATAGCTGAGCTGATGTGTGGCGTGGCTGATGATGGCAGTACACTGACTGGAAAAGGTAAGCCCGGTTTCTGGATTTAATTGTAGCGACGCGGCGTGCACTATGACTGGCCGTTGTCATGGTACCGGTGTGCTCTAGTTCTGAACAGGCCTAGTAGCACTGTGTCCCCATCTATGTCTACATATGTACATATATCTTTCTACAGCCAGACCTCGCTTAGCCGCACACATCCGTTTTCCACAAAGAATATCCGGATAGGCGAGGGAACCGGATAATCGAACACGTGTACTGTATGAATGCATGACATATGCTGTAAATCGGTAACCAAGAATTTTCTTCTGGATGGCGAGGGATCCGGATAGAAGAGGACCGGATAAGCGACGTCTGACTGTATATGGCGATATTCGCACCAAATCAATCTTTGGGTCGGGAGGGGGGGGGGGGGGGAGGCTTCTTCCCCTCTCCATGTTTCTACCATAAAGTACTGGTAAGGAGGAGATCAGACCGGCAACATGGACCTGCGGATGTGATGACAGCAAAAGTCTGATGATAGACTAACTGCAGTGGCCTGGTAGTGCTCCGAGTCACGACTGTGCTTCTGTGACTGAACCCTGGTGTGTGTGTGTGTGCTTCTGTGACTGCACCCTGGTGTGTGTCTACTGTGACTGCACCCTGGTGTGTGGCCAAACAGCCCAACTGACTGCATTGTTGTATGCTGTGTGTTGAGTGGTGTGTGGCTGCTTCCTTCCTGTGTGGATGACTTTCACATAGAACTGCAGTTTGCGTCATTTCAGCCATGCATAGTGCTCCTAATGGCGAGGCTAGGATGGAGGTTTGCATTGTGATGATTACTGATACATGTATATCTTTGCTGTACACTCTGCCTAGGTGTTCGCTTGCTGTTGAAAAGAGCATTGTACCAGTGCGACCCATTGATCTTGAAGACATTGCGCAATATCAGCGTACATGCCCAGAGTAGTATCCGTCAGCTGTTTGTGGTGAGTAGTCGCTATGGTTACTGTAGCCTGAACTGTTGTCGAAATCAGCTGCCATGGTCACCTTAGCAGCATAGACAAGTCTTTGTGTGTGTGTGTGTGTGTGTGTGTGTTTGTGTGTGTGTGTGCGTGTGTGTGTGTAAGTTTGTTTGCGTGCATGTGCACGTGTGTGTGTGTGGGTAGGTGTGTCTGTGTGTGTGCATGTGTGTGTGCGTGTGTGTGCATGCATACGTGTGTGCATGCGTGTTCATCACCAAGTTCTGTACGTTGATTTGCGTCCGTAACACACTGTGTGTATGCCTATGTCGATGTCTGTGTGTCTGTGGCGTGTGTGTCTGTGCTGTGTGTCTTTGCTGTGTGTCTGTGTGTATGTATGTCTGTGGTGTATGTGTGTATGTGCTGTGTATGTGCTGTGTGTCTGTGCTGTGTGTGTATGCGTCCTCACTAACACTTGTTCACCCAGCCGTACGTAGCTGATATTGGACAGGTGATGGTGAGCAGTGAGGATCAGGAATGTGTCTGTGATATGATGGGATTACTTGGTAACTTGACATTCCAACGGCCGAGAAAAGCCACTGATGACGGTAAGCAGCATGTGCCTGATCAGCTACAGGACTGCCGGTCGCCGAAGAACTGGGGAGGGTCAGCCTCCTAGCCGCTAGGCCGTTCTTATTTTCATGTATTACAGGCTATGCGCAGTTGAGTCACCGTGTATATATTGGTATGCTGTGCTTGATGAAATAAAGGCTGGTCGTTCTTCGGCGCTCCGTTTTTCGGCGCTCCGTTCTTCGGCGCCCGGCAGAACTGTAGAGTGTAGACCATGCTTAAAGCATTTTTTTTCATTCTGTAGCATATCGTGAACTTTATCGTGTTCAGCCGTATTTGCTGAACGGATAGTAACGAGAATACGTACAGTCAACCTCGTGAATAAGGACCTCGGGTCACCGTGCAGGGGCGTAGCTGGTCCCGCTTTTAGGGCGGGGGGGTGCACTGCCGCATACAATGTAGGATTGCTGGTGCATGTCATTCATTGTCAATAATGTGCATGCTGAACCTAGATCGAAATTTTTAGGGGAGTGCACATGCATTTGCTGCTACTGAACCTCTGCTATTGCTGCTGCTGCTACTGCCGCCGCTGCTACTTCTGCTGTTTCTGATGCTGATGATGATGATGATGATGCTGTTTCTGATGCTGATGCTGCTGTTGCTGCTGTTTCTGATGCTGATGCTGATGCTGCAGATGATGATGATCTAGATGAGGATGAAGGCGATGCGGATACTTCTACAAAGCAGCAATCAGCGGCGGTGGCGTCGGCATCTTTGATACCAGAGGAATGCTATACGTGTCTACGTTCGCTAATCACAGAGTGTGATGCTCTGCCTTTGTTGACTGATAAACTTGAGCAAAGAGGTACGTACATACATACATACATACGTGTGTCCAAACAAGGCCGGTCTAGGCAGCTCGAGGTAGAGTGCTCAATGCACAAATGTACAGAGCAGTATACACACACAACAGAGGCGAAAGGCTGTGTAGCTGTGTAGCTTCACGCATTTCAGCGATCAACAGACAGCAACATTTACATGTGTCCATGTGTGTGTCTATCTGAATGTGTACGTGAGTTATGTGTGTTTGTGCCTTCCAGTTCCCATTCTTGTTCAAATCATGCATTCGTGCAACTGTGTGATGGTGCTATATTGCACTCGTAAACACTTCCATTTTCCGTGCCACGAACAGGCTCTCAACTGCACCAAATAAATCGAATAATAAAGTTCATTCAATATTCATTAGTTTGAGGGAAAGACGCAAACGGGAAAAGCCTGAAGAAAAATTGACTGTCACCGCCAGGACTCGAACCAGGGACCCTCGCTTGCAGCCAGTGGTGCTCTAACCACTGAGCTCTGAGCTATGGTGTAGCTGTCATCCAAGCAGAGACCATTCAACATTTTCTTCAGACTTCGAAACTCACGCTACCTCTGTGAATCCACACTGGCGGGTGGCACGCATTCATTTTATTTGTTGCAGCTGAGAGTATGTGTATGTATGTGTGGATGTGTGTGTCTATGCGTGTGTGTGTGTGTGTGTGTGTGTGTGTGTGTGTGTGTGTGTGTGTGTGTGCGTACGCGTGTGTGCATGTGTGCGTGTGTGCATGTGTGCGTATGCATGCGTTTTAATGCATGTGTATGTGTGCAGCTATAACGCTACAGTTGACATCAGATGGTGGTTGGTCCACTGCACTGGAGCCCTTACTGTTGGCAGTGGCCATGGCTCATGATGAAGAGTGTGCGCTGGCTATGGCACATAGCGGCCATATCGAACTGATCGCTAACCGCCTGACTGGTACGTGTGGTGCTGTGCAACGCTGTTCTGTATGTTGTGTGCTGTGTGTTGTGTTGTGGTGTGGTGTGTTTGGTGTGTTGTATGCTCTGCGTGCATGGGTGGTACTGGTGGTGCGCTGTGCAGCACTCTGGCTGATAGGCTCTAGATTTCTGATCACATCCAATGTTCAGCTAGTTTTGCTGCAGTAAGTTTTTGTCTAGTTCGGCCATAGGATAGCTTGCTGTGTGCTGTGCACAGCATGGTATAAAGTTACTGTAACACACACACACACGCGCGCGCACACACACACACACACACACGCGCGCACACACAATTGTGGTCAAAGTGTTGGTCAAACCATGACCTGATGAACTGGGCTTGAGCTGTGTACATTGTACTTCAAAGTACATTGATATGCAACCGATGTGTTAGCAACGGGAAAGTGACATGACACAAGCCATGACACCGAGGAAGCTTGCGTGAACGTGTCATCGATCTTTTACACGAAACGAAGAAGTTTCGTTTATGGGTGAATCGAGAAGAGTTTCGATTTGCAAAATATATTGATACTGTAAGACATCTCATTCCCTGGGCACTGCAAATTCACAACTCATTTCATTTCACATAATCATTTTCAACGTTTCGGCAAATTGCCATCATCAGGATACAATATTGTATATTGTATCCTGATGATGGCAATTTGCCGAAACGTTGAAAATGATTATGTGAAATGAAATGAGTTGTGAATTTGCAGTGCCCAGGGAATGAGCATGTGTGCTCACCAATTCTCTTCGAGTTATGAAGCTGCAGGATGCCTCACCGCTACTTCGTTACTGTAAGACATGTTATTATAACGAGTCGCAAATTTAACGATTATCCAAAATTCAAAGGTTAACGAGAAGGTATGTTAACGATCTTCCAGTATTCTGCCATATCCACACACAGCGTATATGAAGCAGTACGGCCTCAACAGATCTTATCATAACGAAGAAATGTCATCCGTTAAAACGTTAGATTTGCTTCCTCGTTATATATACATGTCTTACACTAAGTTACAGTAGCTGAAGCATCTATCCATTCTAGCCTGTCAAGTCAATACATTTTTAGGAGGGGGGAGGGGGGGGGGGTTACACCTAACTTGTTGTTCCGTGAAAATTATCGATACTTCCGGATGGCTTCTTATCCTGTATGAAACCTGTTAGCACCATTGGCAGCAGAACAATTCATGACCGTATTGGACACTTGGTGTACATGCATGGGCTAGAGAGCCAGTACACCACTCGAAGACCCCCCGCTGTGTATAACCTAGTCCTGTACTGTACTGCTGTCGTTGACATACAGTACAGTACAGTACATGCTTTGGGTCAGAGTCACAAACACCTCTGTTTGTTGCCATGTACTTGTCTCTATGGTTGCCAGGTCACCAAGACGACGATGACATCGTTTTGCAGTCTGTATATTTCTTCTACATGACGTTACTGCATAGCGTGACACGAGAATACTGCATCAAAGAAACACGTATCCTACTATTCTACTGTCTGACTGGTTTCTACTGAACTGTACATTCACCTTATACAACCAGTTTAGAGAAGCATTTCACTGTACTGTGTGATCTCCTACCACCACCACCCCCCCCCCCCCCCCCACACACACACAAATCCCTATGATCTCTGACTCCCCCCCCCCCCCCCCATCCATCCCCGTCTGATCCCAGATCCCCCCCCCCCCCTCTCCCGGCCTCTGATCACAGTTCTCTGCACCCATCCCTCCTATCCCAAACCCCTGACCCCCATCCCTCTGATCCTGGATCACTGCCCCCCTCCCCCCCCCCCCCCCACCACACCTATTCCTTTGATCCCAGAGTCATGCCCCTGCCCCTCAAGAGGCAGGGTCCGACAGGCTAATGACACTGTATGTGACCTAATGAAATTGTGTGATTCCTTGACTTTTATACCACCACTCTCTTGATGCACGTGGACATACGTATCCACAGAGATACCGCACATTCTCCTGACTTTGATGCATGATAACAACGCCGAGGTCAAGAAGATCTGCAATGCAGCACTGGATATTGTACAGGTATGCTGATAATGGTGATGCCATGATGGTGATGCCATTGTGATATCATGATGATGTCATTGTGATGTCCTGGTGATGCCATGGTGGTGTCATGGTGATGTCATGGTGATGTCATGGTGGTGCCATGGCCCATGGGTAACGGGACATACAACCCCTACTGCCAGTAGATTTAGAACCCAATGGGCACGTATAAGTGTATGAGTACGTATACATTAATGACATGTTGCAGATGTGAAGGCATATAATTATGTGAAGTCCCGCCGCTGATTCCACACATGGATGATAGCTACTAGCATAGCATGGAGTGTACATAACTGTATGTTTTGACGTCATTCAATGTGAACTCATTTAGAGAAGCGATCCTGTCAGCTTTTCTATTATTGTGCACATTGGCATGCAATGTCCAAAGCATGGCGCAAGCAGGGGGGGGGGGGCTTGCTGACACGATTTTGAAGGTGTGCAGGCTGCACATCATAATGAATTGATAGCAGACTCAGCGGAGAACGTTCAGGTTGGTTGTAACTCTGAGTTTCATACCGTTAGGCAATCATCAGACAACTGATACTCGGGTGTACCCAACAGTATGCTTATAAACACATAGGGCCACAAGCATAAACAAATTTAGCGCTAAATCTGGTGTGAGGTATGGGGAGAAAGCTGGCGCGGGCCAAGGCGCGACAGTAGAAGTGCCAGGAGGGTGGTTGGCAACAGGCAGGTGTGAGCATGAAAGCTCGGAAAGAGGCGATGGGGAGGCAGTGTACAGCAGATGGATGGAGATGCAAGGAGGATGGCGGGCAATGGGCCAGTGAGATCGCTACACGGGGTCTTTGGGTGACGGGCAGGCGTGAGCAGAGTGGCATAGCCAACAATAGGCCAAGGGATTGTGTTATTAATAATTGATATTGGGGTGCTCAGGCAAAGTGCAGTACAGTACTTGGTCAGTTCATTTGATAGGTGTGAAATTTGCGAGGCGGAACTTATTCTCATGCCCTCACATCTGTATGATCGGCTCTTCTCCCGCATCTTCCATGTAATGGTCAACGGCTTTCCCTCGCCCTTCAGCTCCCATACGTGTTTTGCGAGCTCAGTGCTGTTTTTGTATTTTTCATGACGCATGGAGGTCAGGTGGTTGGCGTGACGGGCTTTGAAAGGTGTCTCTGATAGGCCGCTGTAAATCTTGCTAGTAGATTCTGCAGTGGCCTCATACACTATCTCCTTCGTCTGGCACTCTCCGCGCAGCGGGCAGGACTCCTTGATTCTACAGTTGCATGCCTTGGTTTGTTCTGGCTCTCGTAGGTTGCTCTTGTTGTGGCTGCTGATCACCGCTCCCATGTTGGGCATGCAGCTGTAACTCACTTTCAGGGTGTTGCGGTTGAAAATCTTTCCGAGCTTGGATGTTTTCGGGAAGTGCCTGGAGACAAGGCTCAGGAACCTACCAGCGACGTTTGTGCTGACGTTCTTGGAGTAAGGGGGGTTGAACCATAATTATGACCTTCCGGCTGCGGTTCTTCCTGCCCCTCTGCTCATGTGCCTCGGGCTGAAAGCTCAGCACTTCAGTGTATCCACTGGCCTTTAATGCGATCTGGTACACGGAGTCTGCATGGTTGGATGCCTCCGCGTCGCTTGATATAGTGGAAAGGCGCTTGTTGACAGCAGCAGGGATGTTGTTGGTGGTCCCAGGCGGGTGATTGGACTGCTTGCTGACGTAGAGCGGGTTGTCATTTGGCTTTCGGAAGGGTTGAAATTTCCCGGTGTCCAGGTTCATCGTGACATCCAAGAAATCCACCACCTTCAAGTTCGCTTCGATGGTAAATCTTAGGTCGAAGCGCTTGAAGATTTCCGTCAGCTTTTTATCTGAGGCGGTCTGCAGTCTGTGGGCTGGTGTCCTTGAGAGCGGCCAGTCCATCGTCTCTATAGAGGCCGATAGCGGATCTATCAACGTGGCTTGAGAGCTTGTTGAGAAGAAAGGCGCCCACAAGTTCGCACGTCTCGGCGCCATCGTAACTTCCCATTGTTACGTCAAACATGTCGCCATTGTCCTTCATCCAGGGGCGGCCTTCATGGAATAGGAGCGGTTTTCGGGCGTGAAGGATGATGTCCATTTCACACGACTCGATCGTGGTGAATTGCTCCACGAACGATAAAGCCTGACGGAGGAGGTGCTCACCAATTGACGGGTAGAATTCTACCACGTCAAAGCATAGGAACGTGTGGCGCTGCTTGTCGGGTATCTCCTTGAACCACTCGATCACTGACATGGTGCTCCTCATAATGAATAGATATGTGTGCTTGCTTGTGCCTCTGCATGTGTGTGTGTGTGCGTGCGTGTGTGCATGCGTGCGTGCGTGTGTGTATGTATGTGTGTGTGCCTGTGTCTGTGCATGTGCGTATGTTTGTGTGTACATGTACGTGTGTGTGTGTGTGTGCGTACTTTGTTTGCCTTGAACACTAACACAGGAATACGATGGCCAGTGGGCCAGCGACATTCAAGAATCTCGTTTCCTCTACTATAACCAGTCCTGGTTAAACTTCGTACAGCAGAATGCCATACAGGAGCAGATCAACGATGCGGAAGAGAGAATGTTCAGTGCACAGATGGACGACGGGGCATTCATGCCAGAAGACATGGCCGCCATGATGTACGCCACCATGCATCAGGGTAGCTATGGCGATGATGACGGTGATGGCATGGAGGATGGCGCCGAGGACGACATGCTTATGTACACGGACGAAGCACAGATGAGAGCGTATGCTGGTATGGCCATGGAGGAACAGCACAGAATGGCTGCGGCCACTAGTCGAGCTGCGGCCGCGGCCATGGGAATGGCGGTTGGTAGCAGTACGAATAGCTATCCAGAAGGTGAGGCACTCAAATGTGATCTACAGTAGACCGTGCTAGGCCAGCATTGTATACCGGATTTTTCGGACTTAGCGAGGGTTTTTTATTACTGCCTGTCTGAAATAAGCACCGCGTCATTTCAGTGATTTTGCGTGGATTTCTTTCAGATTGGGTGAAATGTCTGAGATCACAGACTACTAACTTGTACTAAGCGCCTCGGCCACTATTGCCGAAATTACAGTATGTGCAAAATGGAAAATCTGCTAGGTAACTGTGATACGCGGCTGACGTTGGAATGTCGGACAGGGCCATTGCAGTAACCCATGTGAAGAACAGTGAACTCATACAACACAAGGGGTGACTGAAACCTTAGTAGTAGATTGCTGGATGAGACGGTGGGTTATCTATGCATGGACTGGTGCCATGGACCATGGCTTTGCTAGCCAAACAGAGGTGTTGAAGAAAGACGAACGAGGACTCAACACGACAACAAAAGTATGTTGCTGATGATTGTGTTGAGATCGGAACTGCACACTCTTGGTAAATAATATGATTTACTCTTGTAATGTGCAGGGCCGGCGCCACTGGTACGGCCGGTACGGCCATGGCCGTACCAAAAAAAAAAAAAAAAAAAAAAAAAAAAAAAAAAAACTTCCCAAAAGTCGGTCTACATGGAACGTCCAAAACCGGGGAGAAAAAGTTTCGATGTATGATTTTGTACAGGGAGTCGCCCAGAGTGCAGGATTTGCCGTCTAAATTCCAAAAAAATATGGGGGAGGACCCCCAGACCCCCCTTAAAGATGGCCCTTCGGCCGCACCACTCCGCGGAACCTGCCTCCGGCCCTGATGTGGATGGGTGATGATGTGAAATTGTGAATGGTATCACTTTGCTAAAAACCAGTAGAATTCGTAAGTCCGTGTTACCAGCACCGCGTCGTATACAATTGTGTTTAGAAACAACCAACGTAGGAAGTTCTATTCGTGCAAGGCCGTCACTGAGCCTGGTTACGCCAAATTGGCTGCTGAAATTTTCTTAGTTTTCTATGCTGCCGCTGCCTGCCTATGGGACTCTATGCTGTCACTGCCTGTGGTTGTCTACGAGAGCGACTCGTATGCTGGCACTGCCTGTGGGCATCTATACTGCCACTGCCTGTGCGTGTCTATACTGTCACTGTCACTGCCTGTGTGTGTCTATACTACCACTGTCATGCTTGTGTGTGTCTAATGTTGTTATGATGTTGTTGCTGCTGCTGTGCGTGTGTCACTGTTATTGTCGGTGTGCGTACCGTACACATACTGCCGTCTTGTCCTGTCTAGGTTTACTCGGTGAGGAGTATTATGGGCATGAGGACTTGGCCGATGAAGACGACTACATGTTTGCCGAGCATGCAGAGCTGCTGGGACAGCCACAGTGGATGAATCAAGCCACCGGAAATCTGGTAGGTTGCGCGTTGACACCTACCACCAATACATCTCCATCTACAGTGTAATTGTTCTTGCTTATGCAGACATTGCCTGACATGATCTTCACCAGGGAGTCGTAAAATACCGGTATTTTACGACTCCCTGATCTTCACAGCAGCATGCATGGAGGCATTCTCCTTATGCCTGTAACCATGGTAACTACCCAGGTCTGCTGGTGTAGTCTGTAACGAGGCCAGACTATTGATGTACACTCTACACACACCATGCTCAATAATCTACACTGTATGCACATGTGTGTGTGTGTGTGTGTGCGTGTGTGCGTGCGTGCGTGTGTGTGTGTGTGTGTGTGTGTGTGTGTGTGTGTGTGTGTGTGTGTGCGTGCGTGCGTGCGTGCATGTGCGTGTGGGTTTTTAGTGTGTGTGTACGTTTAATGTGTGTTTGTGTGTGTGTGCATGTGTGTGTATGTTTGGACATGTGACGTGCATGTTTGTGCACATGATGTGTGTGTGTCTGTAATGTGTGTAACAGGCAGCGACACTGGCAGGAGGAGAAGCCGGAGGTCTGCTTGGCCCAGACTAGTACACAATGCAGTGCTGACTCTGTGACTGTGTGCTGGACAAGCTGCTGCTGCTGCGTTCTGGACTACACCGTGTGCCGGAGAGATCTGTGTTCGTATCGGTACTAACACTACAGCCATGGTGTATAGGACCAGCAACTTGGACTATGATGTAGCTTGCCATCACAAGGTGATGTACCTAGCTTACCATCACAAGGTGATGCCGACGTACCTAGCAGGTACATCACTACATGTGCCGGCATAGCACCGGGGATCAGACCACACTACCTGGTATATCACTTGTCCCTGCTCGTACGTCATAGTTATTCAGTCACTCTGTCTCATGACCATGCTGCTCTCTGGTAGAACTCTGCCTCTATAGCATAGATACTAGGTACTCAAGTTTGTACTAGTAGTAGTAGTAGTTCTGGTGGCGAACCTCTGCCACAAGCCCCCCCCCCCCCTTCATGCAGTACAGTCATGCAGCAGTGTCATTATGGCCAGCGTATGCTGCCACCATAAGACTGATGTTGGCTCAGCCGGTGGAGGCAGTGTATTGTCCTGTGTATGACTTGAAACCAGTTATATCATTAGCTCATTCCGGTCTCGCTGCTTCCTGTCAGCTCCATGAATTGCCCAACCCCCCTCCCTGTTGGTGCTGCTGCTGGCTGCTTGTAACTATGCGTACTATCGCAGAATCCATCTTTCGCAAGTTCAGTCCTGGTTTTCACTGACTGCCGTGGTTACACGAGTCCTCTTGTTTATCAGTTGAGCGGCGAAATGTTCGTTTCCACACGCCACAACCTCTTTGATGTCAGATATGTACACATAGCTACATGTCATTGTATGCCTATTCTCCCGGAACATTCTATTCTATAATTATCTATTCGGTCAAGATACCGTATTCGACCATATATGGACTGACGGCATATACCGTCCGACTATCAATTCTATTATTCGTTTTGTCTATTTCCAACGGACAGATTCAGGTGATATTTATGTAACATAATAAATTGATAATCTTGTCCAATGCCGTTCCGATGCTCTGCGCCTGTTGCTGGGTTACGGTCACAATTGGAAGAGAGCCACTGAAGTAAGAACCAGTACAAGTCAAAACCAGCCTATAAGGCTGGTGGGGTGGGGATGGTGGACTCAACGCGGTTAGAACGAACCCCTGTCCGTCTGACCAAACTTTTAGACTTAGAAAATTTGTCCTTCTTCCTTTCATTGCTGGTACTGGAGTGAAGTAGTGATTGTTTACTAGAATGGAGGCAGGTTTGGCTTTTATACGACCCCCCTGGAATTATGTAGACCGATTTGGGTACAACTACAAGTCCCCATGCCCACAGTACCGCTACCATCAAGGGTATAGGAGGTTATGTACTCTTGCTACCATCACCACACTGCACTATGCTGGACACCACCAGACCACTACAATCATAGTACATGCACATCAGCTACACGTCTGGTAAGCACACCATTGCCACTCTAACGCTCTGCCAAGGCGCTAGAGATAGCAAGAGACCTGGTGGTGCACAGCTAGGGTACCTGCAATGCAGTCCACATGACAAATATTATACAAGTACATTGTCACACAAGACTACTGTGCTGTACACAGAGTACATTATCAGCAGCAGCACCACTACAACCAGCAGCAACACCGCCGCAAGCCACAACAGCAGCAACAACACCACCATCACAACCAGCAGCACTCCACATGCAGCAGCAACACCACCACCACAACCAACAGCAGCAACACCACCACCACAACCAGCAGCAGCGGCAACACCACCACCACTCCACACGCAGCAGCAACACCGCCGTCACAAGCAGCAGCACCGCCACAACCACAGGCAACAGCAGCGGGACATGTGGAATTGCGGATCCAGTAGAAAGATAGCAGTAATTCAAAATAGTTCAAAGATCATCATGACACTTGCACACGAACCATAATGATGGTGAAGAATGGTCTGAATGCTATGTACTGATGTACTGATCGGTGGGGCACAACTATACTAGCTACAACGTGTGACATATACACAACACAAGAAAGAGAGAGAGAGAAAAGGAGAAAATACAGATGGGTGGTAGTAAGTATTGATAACGAACACATACGCACACGTTCAAAGGCCATCTCAAACGGCCGGGGAAATAGAAAAGAAGATGTGTGTGTGTGTGTGTGTGTGTGTGTGTGTGTGCGCGTGTGTGTGTGCGCGTGTGTGTGTGCGTGTGTGTGCATGTGTGTGTGTGTGTGTGTGAGAGAGAGAGAGAGAGAGAGAGAGAGAGAGAGAGAAAAGAAGGGGGGGGGGGAGAGAGACAGTTGGTGACCCATGAGAGGCAGCAGCAGCAGCAGCAGCAACAGCAACAGCATGTGTTCGCTCTAACAGTGCAGAGTACAGGTAGTCTCTAACAGTGCTGATAGCTTGAGGCCAGCCAGCAACCCAAGCTACCACGCACAAAAAAAGGAAGAAAAATATTCCAAATATGGCCAGACAATGTGTCACATTGGTTAATTTAAAAGACTATTCATTGGCAATAAATGTGTGTGACAGTTGATGCCCCCAGTCTTCGCCCACCCAGCGCCGCATTGAAGAGATACTGGCAAGGGACTTACTAAAAAAATTGAGAAAAATAGTTCACAAAATCACTGCTGTGAACATGTCCATACATACTCTAGGGGAGGGGCGGGGAGGGGGGAGAGAATAGGGCATATCACACATACATAATAATACAGTACGGGCAGGTGGCAGGGAAATACCCTTGCAACATCAGTGCCACCAGGGTACTCATAGCAGTAGTGGGGTAGGTACTATGTACAGAAAACAGGGGGGGGGGGAGGGGGAGGCAAGGGTGATGATACTGATGATACTAGAATCAATCTACATGTTACCAGCTAGCAGGCTTGCGTACTGCTACTGTTACTGGCAAAGTAGCATGACGATAGCAAGCTACAAGTGCAGTCTAGGAGATATGCACACTCACTCACACACGCACTCACACACATGCACACTCACTTCTTGACGTGTAGTGTGCACTGACTGGGCAATGGAGCTGCAGCCTGTCCTGCTCTGCACTGCCCGCCTGCCCTGCGACTATCATGTACGACAGCTGCAGGCAGTGGCAATGCGCGTGCACATACGCCCGTGTGTGTGTACAGCAGCAGCAGCGATGGTGATAACACACACGCACACCAGACCAGTCAGTAGTGGTACATGCCACCAGCGGTGTGTGAATATGCCGAGTAGGACACCGTGCACCATATCAACAACAGTCATGATGATGGCGATGATGATGGGCATTGACTGCTGTATGGCCAGCAGCAGCATCATCACTATCAGAAGAGCAAGAAAAGCAGAAGCAGCAAACAGCAGGACAGCAGTGTATGAGTCACCAGTCAATCTAAGCAAAGCAGTAGCACACACACCATGGACCAGTTTGTTGGTGCAGGCAAATCAGCAGTGAGTGCATTGTGTACGTTCTGCACTACGGTCACATGGCTGGTTCAAATGGCCTACTGAACAGTTAAATAGTTCAACTTAACACACACACCTTTGACCTTTGACGCCCATCGCCGGAGGCGATGATAGCAATGCTACGGCAGAAGCCATAGCAACTTGTGCTGGGATTGCACCATTCAACAGCTTGCAAGGCTGAAGAATTGACCGTCACTATTCAGCCTGGTCTACACCATACAGCTATTTTGAAGTGACTTTTTCTGGCCAGTGAATCCCTATTTTTGGTCTTTTTATTTTTTTAACTTTTTTTCCCGTACACACATCACACCACATACTCCGGCATGCACTGACTGTTGGTAACCACCCAGCTGAATGAAAGAAAAGCAGGAAGAGTCTGAGAAAGAGAAGAAAGACATGTGTGACCATAATCGTCAGGAATCGAACCCGCAACCTATCGATTGGAAATCGCTGCACATACCACTGCACCATATGGGAACACACACACACACACACACACACACACACACACACACACACACACACACACACACACACACACACACTTGTACTTGTACTTGTACTTGCTCACTGCCAAAACTGGTCACGTGGGTCTCCCCGGGAGAGGGGAGAGAGACTCAAAAGGAATCTTGGAAAGATGACTCAATTGGCCATTGAACCACCCAACGGCCGACACCCCCTGAAATCCCCAAACTAGGGTGGACTTGAAATGATCCCACTTATGGGCTCACCACACCTCAGTAAGTGGGTGAGGACAAGGTGCAGAAAAAGGATTGACGGCATCAGGGTATCCGTCCCGGGATCCAACTGCAGTTACCCCTGCCCCCAGTGAAGGTAATACTGGGTACTAGTGTGGGTGGCTAAACCAGAGCGGATCTGATATAAGCTTCACTAGCACACACACACACACACACACGTGTGTGGAATGTTTCATTGAGCAGTGTTGGGGCAGCGGGGCAACCTACTGGTTTACAAACTACAGTTAGGTACTTTTCCAGGAACCTGGACGTCCATTTTCTTGCAACGTACTAGCTTAGAGCTGCTGTTATCACAGTTACCAAGGTACTAGCTTAGAGCTGTTGTTATCACAGTTACTAAGGTTTTACTCTAGCACTACAGTCCATTCATTGGAAACTGGCACCCTAACTTTTTGGTGTCTCTCTCACATAGTTGTACATATCGTGAAAACAACAGTACATCCTGCATTGTGTGACCCGTGCAATTAATCCTTGCCACATTTGAGGCCAGAAAAGTCCAAGAACAGGGAAATAGAAATTACGCCAGGCTTTACAATATTAGGACAGGTATGCAATGGCAAAATGTATGGAGAAGCAGATCCAAAACCCAGATTTTTGAGATTTAAAGTGGGTTTTTGATCCTCAATTCGGCCCAAATCCGACTTTCAAAAGCCAGCGGGCCAGTTTCCGATGAATGGACTGTAGTCAAGTTTATAGCAAGTCAGAACAACGGTAGCTATGACAACTGCCATGCTAGTAGCTATGGATACAGCTTACCTGCATACCAGCGGTGCTACGAGAATCGCAGTGGATCAAACTCAAGCTCTGGACGCGATTCAAGCGGGGCACCAGCGCGAGAGCAGACCGGTGACACCGCGGGAGAACCGCGGTCGCTGCGACGGAACGGCTTGATCGGTGGCCCGGGTTTCTCTGCCGGCGGCGGCGGGGGCCTGCTGCCCACTGTTGGCCGGGGACGAATACCGCCGTCGAGCGCTGTGAACGGATCAGTGTCACTGGCACTCACTGTACTGGACCTGTGCAGCTGTTGCTGTGTGCTGCACACCTCATATAGATTGGCACTAGAGTTGGATGATGATGATACTGCTGCTTGAGATAGCAGTGTGGAATTGGCACCTGTAGACATGCCAGGGATGTAACCAGGCGTCGACGTTGACGAGGTTGCTGACGATGTCGACGATCTACACACTTTCTGGTAATCGGGCGCTTGCGTGAGCGTGTCGAATGGCGTCACCGAAGTAGCTTGCGTTGTTCGATCCGCGTGGCTGCGCGACGGCGACGACGTAGCCGTGAACATTGGTGCGCGCGACACGTTGGTGGTGCGGGGGTGCTGGCGATGTCCATCAGCCGCCGCATCACTGGGCTCCACGACTGCAGTGGATGAGCTGGGTGGCACGTATGAATAACGCATACTGGCGGAGGAATCCGAACTACCGTTAGTACCTCCTGCCGACTTGCGCTTTGCTCGCCAATTGGTACGCGCATCCTTGGACACGGAAGTGGATGGCGGAATCATGGACTGGGCGCGTTGCCGTGCTAGCGATGAGAAGTCCTCCAAGCAGTCCTCGTCGTCGCCAGTGTTGGTGGTGGTGGAGCTGGTGCCGGTTGAGCTGACGCTAGCCGTGGACGCTGTGCTGTGAATACCAGTGACGTGAGTACCAAACAGCTTGCCAGAAGATGTTCGACTGTATCCTGCTGCTGATGGTTTGCTGCTGCTGGTGCCGCTGGTGTTGCTGCTGCTATCCGCCGTATCGCTGGTGGAGGAAGCGGCTACGTGGCGCGGCGAGTGGAACGGATCAAACGAGGATACTGGCGAGGGTGAACCAGCCTCGGAGCTACTAGCTGCTGCACTGCTACTGCTTCCGGCACTGGTGGTAGGCACCACGGACGTTGCTGGCAGTGCTGTGGCTGCTGATGAGGACGATGTTGCTGGTTCCAGAAGTGAAGGCTCAGAAACGGGATCAAAATTGAGAAAGAGTTCCTTAGCCAGGCAAGTGACCTGAGAACGCGATGGTATGGTAACACTAAGACCGAGCAGATCGTCGACAGCCGGTGAGTCACTGCTGACGTGAGAGTCGTCACTCTGATCATCAGCTGCCGTAGCAGCCCTGTTGGCCGTCACTGTGTCATCGATACCGCCATGCAGCCTAGCTTGATCACTGCCATCCATGACCTGATCATCAAGGTCCTCAAGCATCACTGCTTCCACAGAGTCGAGGGGTGAATCGGTGGGTGCGGAGAAGTTCCCACGACCTATCACATCGCCACCGCTCGACACCGATGGGGTCTTGGTAGCGCGGTACTCAGAGTACGGACGTACTACCGGTGGTGGCTTCTTGGGTCTCTGACTCTGCTGCAAACACACACATACATATACACATACACATACGTACCATGTACCATCACATACACACACACACACACACACACACACACACACACACACACGCACACACACACACGCACACACACACGTGCCAGACATGAGCAGAGGCAGATACACACAGAGAGAATATGTAAGCAAATCAGACATTGCCATACCCTCCAAGCAGTGGCGATGATTTCTCCTGGAACTTCAAGGCAAAATCTCTGAATTTCACAGTCTCATGGATACGTTAGCTTGCTCTACACTAAACGTAGAACTTGCTTTTGATTTCTTGTGCGAATAAACGTTCTGACAAACTTTGCATCAAGTATGTAACCTGGATCGAGGGAGAACAACTAAAAGTTGGCCAGATGCAGTCGAAACTGAAATAGTGCCTCCATTTTCCAGATATGTAGAAGAGAAATGTTGGATCCCGGGAGACAATGCAAAGAAAAGCATGACCATGTCGCAAAATCGGGATCACTGGCACGCTAGAACTCCATTATGCATGGGCATGAGCGTGAATGCATGTGTGCGTTCGTGTGTGTGCATGTGTGTGTGTGTGTGTGTGTGTGTGTGTGTGTGTGTGTGTGTGTGAGAGAGAGAGAGAGAGACAGAGAGAGAGAGAGAGAGAGACAGAGAGAGAGAGAGAGAGAGAGAGAGAGAGAGAGAGAGAGAGAGAGAGAGAGAGAGAGAGCACACACACACATACGATAGACTTACCACTTGCTTGCGTATAGTACTGTCAGCAGGCAGAGACGAGAGTAGCTCACTAACACTAAGTGATTTCTTGGATTCCAGCTGTGGTGAACTGATTGACATCCCAGTCATCTGTTGATTGCCACCAGATTTCTCATCCTAAACATCCATCCACACCCACCCGCACATCCACACACGTACACACACCCGTGCGCGCATGCAGACACACACGCACACGCACAAATACACGCATACACGCACACACACAAAAACACAAACACACAATGTTACTAGACTTTCAAGTAGGGGACACCAAAAGGAAATGCGATGCGATATGACAACAGACTAACGTTCTAGATAAAGCTAGAGATATTCTGGTTGCTAGCTGAGTCTTTACTCCACTGATGTACTACACAGTGTATATACTGTTCAAATGCCCGGAATGCCCGGAATGGACAGAGTGTAGTACGCTACAGGTACACAAAAGGAAGTAAAATAGGGCTGTTTCGTTGCTACGCAGAGTTTCATGGCAACAACCTATCATCAAACAACATAGGGAGATAAGAAAAAAAGGCTACCTCTTGCGTACACAATAATTATAGTGTAAAGACAAAGAACAAGCAGCCAAGAAGACTGGATGTTGCCAGCAACAACACAACATTGCCACCGGCGCTTAGTTCTTCCGCTACGCTGACACGCTGACACACAGACACACACAGACACACACACAGGCACATAGATGCACAGGCGCAAATGCTTACATTCATTAGCTGCTTGAGGCCTTTGACACCCTTCTTGGTACGGCTGTGAATCTGAGAACAGCCCAACATCAAGACCATCACATACATCAGTACACAGTCAGTGCACAGTCAGTACACCGTCAGAACGTAATTTGTGAATCCAAATTTCAAGTGCTGTTGCACTGGCCGCTGGGTGCATGTGGCACGCATTTACCAATATTCTTCAATGCAGCACACAGCAGTATACAACAGCACACAACAGCACACAACAGCACGCAGCAGTATACAGCAACATACAACACACAACAGAACACGGCAGCACACACAACAGAACACGGCAGCACACACAACAGAACACGGCAGTACACACTACACAGTGTTTCCTTTCTGCTCTCACATGTTGTTGAGCTTCAATAAAGATAAAGACATTCAGTGTCAAGTACACAGCATACAGTACTGTCGAGCGCTGAAGAACGACCAGGCTAGAGTTTCATCAAGCATAGCATACCAATGTATACACGATGACTCAACTGTGCATAGACTGCAATACATGAAAATAAGAACGGTCTAGGCTAGGAGGCTGACCCCCCCCCCCCCCCCCCCCCATTTCTTCGGCGACAAACAGCACTGTACTACACTCATATCTCTCTTATCCAGACCTACAAGTTACAGGCACCTCGCTCTACCGGGCACCCTGTGGGTGAGTTGTAGTGGAAATATTACTACTCTTTTGTCACTTTTGTGGAAATAGTGACGTCACATGCCATATATAATATATGGCCTTTCTCCATCAAAATGTATGTGATTCAGCATTACGAACATTTCAAAGTCAATATGGGCAGTGCCTGGTCCCAGACTGCCCCGGATAAGAGTGTAGAAAGTTCAGTAGTACAGTCAGGCCTTGCCTAACCGCACACATCTGTTCTCCACAAAAGTATCCGGATAGGCGAGGGAACCGGATAATCGAACACACATACTGTATGTATGCATGGCATACGCTGTAAATCGGTAACCGACCATTTTCTTCCGGATGGCGAGGAATGCGGATAAAAGAGGACGGGATTAGCAGCGAGGTCTGACTGTAGTACAGTGTGTACTTACATGAGAGAAGGCAGTCTTCATGGATGGCAAGACTTGTGTAGACGTCATGGACGAGATTTCAGAGAATCCCCTCTGCAAGTATACACACAGCACGGAGTGGGGAAGGGGAGAGAGACTGATCAGGAACATGGCAACACGGTATGCTGCTAGCCTGCTAGTTCATAGTCCTACATGTAACGATGGCACACAACTACCCCCTCCCCGTACACAATATGAGTGTATAACGCTACACTACAGGTACCAATCACACACACACACACACACACACACACACACACACACACACACACACACACACACACACACACACACACACACACACACACACAACTACCCTCTCCCCAGTACCCAGCATGTACCCTATTTTCCGGAGTATAAGCCGCACCGCACCCAGATTTCTTGTCACGGTCTACAGACATCTTCCCTATTCATCACCCGCTCATTTCACCACCGTAGTATAAGACCCCTTGGGTGAATTACTGGTGTTTAAAGTGCGGCTTATACTCTGGAAAATACGCTATACAGTGTATAAGTATGTAGTATGAAACACATTGACAAGAAATGAACTCCCAGTACTAGTGCTTTAACCCTTTGGCGCTGCACTATACAAATTTCGACGGCATTCCGTCGATGAGCTCACTGTCCGGTTTTCATTTTCTCGAGGGAATCGTAGCCTCCAAGGCGTCGCACCTGTTGGCTTGTTTTGTGTTGATTTCGCCCATCTACGAATGGCGAATATTGCAATGAAATTTGCTGCGTAGAGCCCTTCCAGTCTCGTCAGGAGGCCTTTCCTACACTGGAGAGGTGGTTCGGAGTGATGCAGACACAGATACCCGTACTGTAAGTCCACAAATTGTTGGCGCGTTTAAATTTCAGTCTCCCAGGGCTAAAAACACATTTCGGCCGTATTAAAATTTCAGCATGTACTGCTGCTGCACACACTGTCACACTGAACATTGCAAAACAAAATTTCGGCCGCAAACAAATTTTAGGCCAAAAAGGCCCTGGCCGAATATAGCCGAAAATTGAAATAAATATGCGCCGAATATTGGTTGTACCATGAAAACATATTTTTCTTCTCTGTGGAGTTGTGTACAACTCCTTGATCTTGCTGGAGATACACATACATGTACATGTATATGCGCGCCCAAATAATTGGGCGCGCTCATAAATTACACCGTACACATTCTCTGTCATGAAACTGCATGTAAACCTAAGTTTTCCCTAATCCATTGCTCAGTCTAATCTTTGTCTTGTGGAGTCAGTCTTGTCTTTGTTTCGTCCCCTTGATAAATATAACGGATTACCTATCAATGCAATTCGGTGCTTTGTGTCTGGCTGGGACCGGCTAATAATATGGGCACTCAACATAGATAAAAAGATAGACAACATTGGCACCCAACGTGGGGCTCGACCCCACGACCCTGAGATTAATAGTCTCATGCTCTACCGATTGAGTTGTATGCATGTGGCATGATCCGAGCTTGGCAGCCATGCCAGCTTGTCTAAAAAAAACTCCATCGATGCAACAAAATTAACGTCGTCTCTTCATTATTTCATCTGTGAGAGACGAGCGCAAGCTAGCAGCGCAAGGGCAAGATGGATATGGACACAGCGTTGGATGTCGCGGCAGCCTGTTTGCTGCTAGCTGCCGCGTTTCGGCGTCGGAGGACAGCACGGACCAGACGTTGGTGTGTTCGTCCGTATTATTACCAGCACAGGTCAGACCGGGGGTCGTATCAATCAGACATTGTGCAGATGAGAAGTGTAGACGAGAACCTGCACTTCAAGTATGTGCGTATGTCGCCGGCTGTTTTCGACCGCTTACTCCTCCTGATAGAGCCGTTCTTGCCGGTGAGACGCCAGCTGAATTCCGCAACAAGACCGGAAATCACTAATGCGGAACGTTTAGCCCTGACGCTGCGATATCGGGCCTCAGGACAGTCCATGCAGAACATTGCCATCCAGTTCCGTGTGGGCCACTCCACTGCCCACCACATCATTATCGATGTATGCCAAGCTCTCTGGGCTGGTCTTGTTGACAAGTACATACAGTGCCCTTCCAAACCAACTGAACGGGCTGCTATAGCGACAGATTTCTATGCGAGGTGGAACTTCCCACACTGCATTGGTGCGATCGATGGGAAGCACATCAATATGCAAGCGCCTCACAATTCTGGCAGCAGCTTCTATAACTACAAGAACTTCCATTCCATTGTCCTGTGACTAGCCACGGTGGATGCTCAATACCGCTCGGCCATGTTGCAGTGCGCTGGTTATGCCGCTACATGTACAGACAAGATGTTTTAATGTAACACAAGAAATGGAAACTTGTGAGCCCAACGCCAAAGGGAGCGCTGCGACTGCTCTCGTCTAAAGTGTGTGATTCTATCACAGTGTTCACCTCATTGGCGCCCGACGCTGCTCAAGCTACCCACAACACTGAGATCTCGCCTCCCACGACTTCTTGGTGCTAACATTATGAACTTTCCCCCGTCTTTCCAGTTCCCTGCGTGCGTACCCCAGCTTAAGTTTGTCTCTATCGCTTCATTCTTATCCAGCGGGTGAAATTTGTATTGTTCTCTTGTTTGGGGATTAGTGTTCGTTCCTTGGCAGTTAAAAAAATGTCATGGACAGACAACGATAAACTGCCTATTTGAAGCATCATCGCAATTCTGATTTGTTCGCTGTCAATAAGCACTTGGCCAGCCAGCTATAAAGATAGTGTGGAGATCCGAGACGCTGAAGGCACGATCCCGTAAACAACTTGTGCCAATAGTTGCCAATTCTTATCGTATAGACATGAAAACTTCCATTTTTCTTGTTTTGTTACTCTGGTAGACCAGTACATTGTACTAATTGCTATTCATATCAATTAGTACTGTACTTGTTTCTGGTGACTGTCACTGTTTGTAAATGTTGCCCCTTAGAAACACCTCTCACAGAAAAGGAGAGAGAGAGAGAGAGAGAGAGAGAGAGAGAGAGAGAGAGAGAGAGAGAGAGAGAGAGAGAGAGAGAGAGAGAGAGAGAGAGCACTAGACGTACCTTTGTCTTGGACCTGACCCATAGTGCATACTTGTTCAGGTAATTTGTTGAGTCTACACATGCCGAATAAAAGCACAAGATCATCAGCTGAAGGATATACTCAGCCAGGAACTGACATAGAACAAGGATACTGCTGACAAGGGCTTGATACATGCATGAGAAAAACAACGACCAGAAAACAGATCAAGGATGAGTAGTGTGTATGTGTGTGTGTGTGTGTGTGCACGCGTGTGTGCGTGTGCGAGAGAGAGAGAGAGAGAGAGAGAGTGTGTGTGTGTGTGTGTGTGTGTGTGTGTGTGTGTGTGTGTGTGTGTGTGTGTGTGTGTGTGTGTGTGTGTGTGTGTGGTGCAGAAAATAACGCGGCAGGCGTCTCCACTGTTCTAGTAGTGCACTAACCTTGTGATGAAGATGTGATGGCATTCTCAAACACATCTCTCAGACCCTGGCCTTGGTTGAGTCGGTGTAGCCTTTCCATCATGAACTGCTGGAACTGCTGGAGGTGAAGGACTTTCTGCAAGAATGGCTGCATCTGCTTGGGACGTGAATCAATAAACCTAAGCAACACAAGCACAGAAACAAGCGCGCACACACACACACACATGGACGAACAACTGCAATAAGCGGACAGCAGCAGTCAGGCAACAAACACATTGACTCTCTCGAGTGCAGACAGTAACTAAATCCCCCCCCCCCCCCCCCCACACACACACACATACCCCCCCCCCCCCCCACACACACACATACCCCCCCCACACACACACACACAAACACATACCCCCCCCCCCCCCTCACACACACAAACACACACACACACACATATCAGCAGAAAAGAGACTTACGCCATGGCATCGAACTTGATCTGCTCGCCCTGGAAGGAATACAAACACACAAACATACAACACACAGAAAGTTTCACGACAATACACAAAGAAACATGAGTGCAGCATTATAATTTTAAAATACACAACTAAACACCAATACCAAGGGGAGGTCATCAAAGACATGCAATCAACACCAATACCAAGGGGAGGTCATCAAAGACATGCAATCAACACCAATACCAAGGGGAGGTCATCAAAGACATGCAGTCAACACCAATGACAAGCCATGATGCCGTCCACACCATGCTTACTTCTCGAAATCTCAGCGCATCTCGATATCCACCGATAAGATAGACGAAGGCGTCGAGGAAAGCTTTGGCCACAGTCTCATCCAGCGCTGATGTGTGCTTCTTCAGTGTATCCTTCAGAGGACCGATCTGAGAGAGAGAGAAGAGAACGCATAAAGAGGAGACATGTTGACGCTATTAGGACTGTGCTGTTCATAGGCACTGGTTTGAGTGTAAAACAAAAGAAGACCAAGTTCAAATATTCATTACCGATAGCTGAGGGATTGGAAAGAGGAAAATTGGAAAGAAAACATTGACTGTCACCTTGAGGACTCAAAGCAGGTACCTAGGCTATGGGAGAGCTATGTGAGCTATGGTGTAGCTGTCATCCCAGCAAAGACCGTTCAACATTGACTTCGGACTTGGAAACTCGCACTTCCACGAAGGCTCAGTCCAGATAAGATATGTGCAATGTTCTCAGCTAACGTGAACTACACTGTCACTAAAAGGCATGCTGCAATAAGGCCATTGTGCAATGACATAGTCTGTACCATCAACACCCCACACAGCCACCTAATACTAGTAACATGGTTGTGTGTGGGGTGATGAACAGTACATGTACATTGCTGATTCTACTGTTCTCGCATGCAGTACGCATACACTCCACTTTCCGCCATACCCAATGGGCTTATGGCATGTAGACTACACAATTCTTCCAGTGCGCTATTGTAACACCGTACGTTGCTGCAACATAGAATTACGGTGAGCAACTGTACTGCCGTAAAGTAGTGTTTTTAATCCCAGACACGCAAAAGACACGCAAAAGACACGCAAAAGACACGCAAAAGACACGCAAAAGACAGGCAAAAGACAGGCAAAAGACAGGCAAAAGACACGCAAAAGACAGGCAACGTACCACATCGGGAGGAATGAGGCTGAGATCGTCGTGGTAGATTTCTAGCGTGTTTGCATCAGCATCCAACACCACCACTTCGTCGAGAGGCATTTTTCTGATTTTCTGCACAGAATCATCAACAATACAACAGACAAGCAATAATACAGCATCAGCACCTGCAGCATAAACACCACTACCACCAGCATCACTGCCTGCAGCATAAACACCACTACCACCAGCATCACCGCCTGCAGCAACAGTATCAGCAACTGCAGCATAAACACCACTACCACCAGCATCACTGCCTGCAGCATAAACACCACTACCACCAGCATCACCGCCTGCAGCAACAGTATCAGCAACTGCAGCATAAACACCACCAGCACCAGCATCACTGCCTGCAGCATAAACACCACTACAACCAGCATCACCGCCTGCAGCAACAGTATCAGCAACTGCAGCATAAACACCAGCATCACCAGCATCACTGCCTGCAGCATAAACACCACTACCACCAGCATCACCGCCTGCAGCAACAGTATCAGCAACAGCAGCATAAACACCAGCATCACTGCCTGCAGCATAAACACCACCAGGACCAGCGTCACCGCCTGCAGCAACAGCAGCAGCAACCGGTTCTGCATCAACTTTACAAGCAACGGGAGTATGAGCATTCAAGAAAGCCGAGATACAATCTCAATCACGTACCGCCATGACAGATGAGTGCACACCAACTAGGAACGGCATAGGCGCACTGCAACAGGACAACACAACACAACACAACACAACATTGTTTTATAAAATACAAAATTTGAGAGGATTTCAGGGAATTCCCAGGGGGGAAGATGACATTTTCAGGGTTTTCAAGGATGCTACGAACCCAGAGTCAACACAACACACAAATTATTACATTGCAGGTTATGGTACTTTGTACGCATCACCATAATATCAATGAGAAGAGAAGCCAAGCTCTGTTGAAGCCCCCCGCGGCTTGGACATGTTAGTCTCTACAAGGCACAGGTATGTCAGTCAAATACCATACAAATGACAACACCATCATCGTCATCAGCAGCAAAGGACAGCAGCAGCAGCACCACCACAACGAACACCATCACCACCACCACAACGAACAGCACCATCACCACCACAACGGACAGCAGCACCACCACAACGGACAGCACCAACACCACAATGAACAGCAGCACCACCACCACCACAACGAACAGCAGCACCACCACCACCACAACGAACAGCAGCAGCAGCACCAACACCACAATGAACAGCAGCAGCAGCACCAACACCACAATGAACAGCAGCACCACCACCACCACCACAACGAACAGCAGCAGCACCAACACCACAACGGACAGCAGCAGGCTAGTTAGTGTACTGGCGTAATTCATTCGCCAAGAGATCTACCTACATGATTGCCTACATTAGTGCATGGTGTATGAGAGCTTCTCCACTCAAAACACATCGGCATAAACTACTTGTACATGTGAAGAACACCACCAGCTCAAACTACATGTACAGACTGGTTCACAGAAACACTAGCATCATCCAGGGATTAGAAGCATCTAGGCATATGACACAGGCAACCGGGGTGTAAAAAAGATGTGGGTTCTGCTCCAGGGGTGCCTGCTCCAGTGGCACAATGGGCAGAGTGGATTAACCAGAGCTAACAAATTAAGGCATCGCAGATCTGGGCTGCGTTGGCAGTCAGCAGGTCAAGTCCGAGATCATGATCAAAAGTCGCACGGATCACGGATCACACAGAACCTCAAAGTACAGGTTGAAATGTCAGCGTTTAGGGAACCTTATTTTCGTGCCGCCTCACAAGATACTATGACTCCCTGCTATCGTCTAATCATGATGCCCACTAGTGTGTTTAGTCAACACAGGTGTTATGTACTTACCAGCAATAGTCGATTAGCTTTGTTGGCATGATCGGAACGAAGATATGTTGCCTGAGCATCGTCAGTGACAAACACACACACACACACACACACACACGCGCGCGCGCGCGCGCACACACACACACACACACGCACGCACACACATGAACATACAAGCACTGTTACGTTTTCTTATTCTTAGTACTCCCTTGTGCCATTGTTCCAGCAGATGCTGCAGGTGTCGCTGACCTGCACAGTTTGTACGAGTACTTGTAGATTTATGCAGTGCGTGTCTACAGCTGTATTTGAATGTGTGCGTAGTGCACAGTTGCAGTTGTCCCCTAGGCGCTGTGTCTGTGATACGTGATTTGTAGTGCGTGTTAGCTTACACGTGGGAATGCTACGCGCTTTCATGTGACCTGCGTTACTTCCTTCTCACTGTACTTCCTTTTATGCATGTATCGCTGGCATATGCGACACGGGCCGGCCGGGCCGGAGTGTGTATTGGTTTTGGAAGCATGTGCCTTTTGTTCTGTGAGTTGTTCGCATGCACATGTTGCTGGCCGGGTGGTAATTTTTGGTTCTTGTTGTGTTGGACCAGTGCTCTAGATTCTACAAGTTTGTAGCTGTTGTGATTTTCCTATGTTCCATGGGTCTGAAGAATTGTGTTCTCCTGAGTGGAGTAAAACTGAACTGTGATTCGATTGTGTGCGGAAACCCGGTGTTGACGAAAGTGTGTTGACCTGGGCGCTGAGGAAAAGTAACATAAACTGGCACCTCCGACGGGATCCTTTTGCCTTTCCGTGGTTGCTGAGAGTCGTCGCCATGAGTGAGGAGCGGCGTATCAGCCACAGATCGACGAAAGGAAAGGAACCCAGGCGATATGGATTTTCTGGAAGTGAGCGCTCGAGTACTCGTGCCAGTCCTGGGAGCACTGAACTCGTAGAATTGGAGAGAGCTCGAGTGGCCAGAAAAAGGGCAGAGGCCGAAGTGCGAGTGGCAGAAGAGATTGCTGCACTGCAGGAACAAGTTCTGCAGAGTAAGCTAGCTGTCCTGCAGAAACGGCAAGCCTTGGAGCAAGCTCGTTCCGAAGAAGAATCTGCGCACGAGTCGGCGGCAGGAGCTAGCCCGTCGCCTCGTAGAGAAATTGCTTCGGACGGGGACGTGGTCTTCAAACGAAGTCGTGACGGCGCAAGTGCGACTCTGCGATCTTGTATGCCACCACGAGCGGAGTCGGACAGTGCAGTTACCGGTAGTAGGTTTACGACTGATCCTCCGTTACCACTCGCGCGCACCAGTGTTAAAAATGTGAATACACTGGTAGCAGGAACAGCAGCTGCTCAGCTATCGCAGAATGTCCTGGACGTCGTTGACGGTGTGTCTGAAGAGTCAGACCACTATGTGTCATCCAGTAGCGCCTCAAGTAGTGACACTGCTGGTGACTCTACAACTACTGGAACTACAACTAACGCCAGTAGTGGTGAAAGTGATAACAGCCACACTGATAGTAGTACTGTTAGTCACTATGGGCCTGCTTCCAGGCGTGTTGGTACACGTGCTCTGGCCAACGCAGGAGTTGCGTCCAGAGGCGGAGCTGCCGGCACTACCCAGCCAGTACATATGCAGCAGCAGCAGCAGCAGCAGCAGCCGCCGTCACAGCAGCAGCAGCAGCCGCCGTCACAGCCGCCACGGCAGCAGCAGCTGCAGCAAGTCCATGTGCTTGGTAACGCCGTGCGTCCAATGCTGCTGGAAGCAAGTGGACCGGCCCAGCCAAGCCCCGCTGCACCGAGAAGACTGATGACTCCGAAGAAGAAAAAATCGGAAAAACAACAGAAGAACAAGGACAAAGCCGAGCAAGCAGCTTCACTGTGCAGTGCCATGACTGAGACACTCTCACTCAACCCTGGAGCAGTGCCGTTCCAACCAGCGAAGCAAACACTGTTGCCTGGACCTCAGCTGGCACTGCCTGGACACCAGATGGCATCGCCTGGATTCATGCCATGGAACTCGCCTTATGCTGTTACCAGTCACCTGAAGGCGTTAGAGCTGCCTAAGTTTGATGGGAAGGTGAAAAGCTACCTGAAGTGGCGGCAGCGTTTCCTTCGGCTGATTGACGACAGTTACGCGATGTCGGAGAACCACAAGCTTGCGCATCTGAGGGAGGCCCTTGCTGATGGTTCTGCAGAGGAGCTGATTGCTGATGTCTTGGATGGACCTGGCGCATATAAAGCAATCATGGCCGAGTTGGAACGCTGGTACGGTGGCCAAGACCGAGAGCTGAACAACCAGGAAAGAGAGCTCATGGAGTGGCCAGTCTTGACCAATGAGCGTGACGTCAGCCAGCTGAAAAAGTTCGCCATTCGGCTCCGCAATACCCTGCTTAACATGGAAGCAGTCCAGGTGCAGCCAGGCAGAGAGTTATACCTGGCGCTAACCCGGAAGATTCCTCGACGGCTCCTGGCACGCTACTTCGATCGTTATGATGATTCCAGCTGTGACATACAGGCATTCTCGCAATTCCTAATAACACACGTCCAGAAGCAGATGCGTGTTGAGGAACGAATTGGCCTGGGAGACCGCCCACCAGTATCACTGCAGCCCAAGGAGCACCAAAACAAGAGTAATCGGCCGTTGCCCAGCAGGCAATATGGAGTCAGGGAGCGCACGTTTATCTCCAGTCCTGGGACTCCACGATCAAGCGACTCGTCACAGCCTGGGCCGAAACGTAACTTGGTCGCTTCTAGCAGCCGCAGCAACTCCAGAAAAGAGCAAGCTGCCTCAGAGCAAAGACAGCATGCAGACAACAGCCATGCCTGTGGTAAGTGCGAGGGTGCACACCATATTGCAGATTGTGGCGAATTCAAGAGTCTGCCCGTGCAAAAGAGAAATGACACGATCCGGAACCTACGGCTATGCGTCAACTGCCTGGGAGATGGGCACTGGGCACGAGACTGCATGGCAGCGGTGTGCCGAGAGTGTCAAGGCAAGCATCATCATTTACTGCACCGTGAACGACAAGGCAGTTTTACACCATCAACACCAACGCGAAAAGAGGCTAGCCACCATGTGAACAGCGAATCCCAGCCAACCAATGACGACGAGGCCGGCTTGACCTCATTCATGACGATACCGGTGAAGGTCGCTAATGGAACAGTGACTGCCACAGCCAACGTCCTTCTTGACTCTGGATCAACATGCAGCTTTGTCACAGAGAGGCTTGCACACCGACTACGGCTGCGAGGAGAGCGCAAGCCAGTGCATGTTGGTGTGCTAGGCGGTCAAGTTCTCTCAGGCGAGCGAGAGGTGGTGTCTCTGTCCCTTCATCAATATGACAGCCAGGAGATATCAGAAGTTGAGGCATATGTGCTGCCAAAGATCACAAGCGACGTGCACGTTGCTGATTGGAGCCGTCTGCGTCACCAGTGGCCACATCTAGCAGACATTGATTTCCCTGCTGCAAGCAATCAACGCGCCATCGACATCCTAATCGGGCTAAATTCAGCAGCACTGCACAGTGCACAGGAAGAACGGATTGGCAAGGCAGGTGAGCCCATTGCAAGGCGCACACCCTTGGGATGGGTCTGTTTCGGTTCAGCCATACAAGACAGCTCTGTCCAGCACACCCATCATGCCCTGGAACTAACACAGACAGGCCTCGACTCGCTTGTCCGTAACTTCTGGGACTTGGAAGCGGTCGGCATGCAACCGTCTGCTGAGAGCTACCTGTCACCTGACGAACGCCATGCTGAGGAAATGACTCGACAGCAGCTAGGGTACGCAGATGGTCGATTCGTTGTCGGTATTCCCTGGCAGAATGGAGCGCGTCCTCAGATCACGAGCAACCGAGTGCAGGCCGAGGATCGGCTGCGTTCGCTACTGAGGTCTCTAGAGAGAAGACCAACCGTTCAGATTCGCTATGCAAAGGTGCTAGAGGAGTACCTACAGAAGGCGTACATTCAGGAGCTGACATCTGATCAAGTCCAGCAATGTGGCCGTGAGCAATGGTTTCTGCCGCATTTCGCAGTAGTCCGCGAAGACAAGGCTACAACTAAGGTCCGTGTTGTGTTTGATGCTGCAGCTCGCTTCAACGGCACGTCCATCAATGAACACATGTACGCTGGGCCGCGACTGCAGAATGACCTCGTCACAGTACTGATCCGGTTCTGCATGCACCCCGTGGCACTGATTGCTGATGTGTCGGAGATGTTCCTTCAGGTGTCACTACAGCCTGAAGATCGCAGATATCACCGATTTCTTTGGAAGACCGGGGACGGAGTCAAGGCCTATGAGTTCACCAGGTTGGCGTTTGGCATCCGTGCATCGCCATACCTAGCAGGCAGAGCTTTGCTGGAGACGGCCGAGCGTTTCGGAGCGAACTACGACCCAGCAGTCAGTGACACAGTTCGCAAGGCATTCTACGTCGACGACATGTTGAAGTCCTTGCCTGACGACCAGAAAGCAATGCGTCTTCGGTCTCAGCTACAAGACCTCCTGAAGAAAGGCGGCTTCCATCTCCGGAAGTGGTTGAGCAACAGTGAAGCAGTGATGGAATCAATTCCACCGGAGCACCGCGCGCCGGCCACGTCTAAGTCCATAACGGCACAAGAGTCGTCTGGACAGCCCTCACAAAAGGCACTGGGCGTAACGTGGATGGTCAGCGAAGATTATTTCACGTTTCACTATCAGGAACCCACATCCGCTGCGTGCACGAAGCGCACCGTCCTCAGTCGCATGGCATCACTGTTTGACCCCAGAGGGCAACTAGCACCATTCACCATCAGGAGCAAGTTGTTGTTCCAGGAACTATGTCTTGCGGGGCTCGGCTGGGACGACTCACTGCCTGTAGAGACGGCGGTAGCTTGGCAAGAATGGTTTGCTGAGATGCCTAAGCTAACACAGCTACGCATTGATCGCTGTTTTCAAGATAGCACAACGTCGATGGGTCTGAGTGTGCACACGTTCACCGACGCATCAGAACGGGCCTACGCCGCTGCGTCATACGTTCGAGCAGAGCGACCAGATGGTACAGCGAAGGTTACCCTGGTGATGGCCAAGGCAAGACCAGCACCGATCAAGCGTCGATCCATTCCGATGCTAGAGCTGCAGGGAGCGGTCCTGGGTGTGCGTCTTGGGACGTACGTTAGCGAAGCTCTTGGTGTGAGAGCAGCCGACAGCCACTACTGGAGCGATTCCATGAATGTCCAGTATTGGATTCGATCACCCAGCCGAAAGTTCAAGCTGGAAGTCGGCAACCGGATATCGGAGATCCAACAGCAGTCTATGGCACGGAACTGGCGTCATGTTCCCGGAGTCAGAAATCCAGCTGATCTCCCCACCCGTGGGATGACAGTCACACAGCTGGCAGAGGAGAGCAGGTGGTGGCATGGACCAACGTTTCTGGCACAGCAACAGAGCGAATGGCCAGATCGCAGGATAGCTGTGCCGAAGGAGCTACCACAAATGCTCAAGACTCCTGAAATCACGATGACGGCAATGATGTCACCACCGTTGCGGCTAAGTCCAAACAACTATTCCTCGTGGAGCCGTCTTGTGCGGGTCACAGCTTGGTGCATGCGTGCCATACACAATCGCCGCAAGAGCCGACTGCCACAGCTAACGCTCAGCGACGCCCGTGTGAAGATTGCAATCAAGAACAGCAAGGAGGTTGCCGTGCCCGAGCTCTCACCAGCTGAGTTTGAAAGAGCGGAGCACTATTGGATCATGCGTGCGCAAGATGAGAGCTATGGTGAAGTGACGAGCACGCTGAGAAAAGGGAAGGAGTTGCCAAGCAGTGCCCCTCTTCTCAAGTTGCAACCGCGCATCGACGAACAGAGTGGATACCCCGTATTAAGAGTTAGTGGGAGACTGCGTACGGCTTACCACTTGGCATCTGAGTTTCGATCGCCAATTGTTCTCCCACCTCGACACCGAGTGACAGAGCTGATCATTCGGAGAGAGGATGAGCGATGCCGACACAGCATTGGCACGAATCACATCCTGTCCAATCTCGCCGATCACTACTGGCTTGTGAAAGGCAAGCAAATGGTGAAGTCACATCGGCACCACTGCGTGGGATGTCAGAAGGTGTGGCGCAAACCAGCCACTCCCAGGATGGGTCCTCTCCCAGACCTCCGCACGCAAGGACCACTTCTGGCATTCGCCCGCACCGCTGTGGACTTCGCCGGACCATTTCTAGTGAAGAGAGGTCGAGGACGTACACAAGAGAAGAGGTATGTGGCAGTGTTCACGTGTCTGCAATCTCGAGCGTGTCACTTGGAGCTGGTTACCTCTCTCGACACGACTGGCTTCAAGATGGCCCTGACACGATTCTGCAAGCGTCGCGGCACACCCGAGATGTTGCTTACTGATAATGGAAGCAATTTTGTTGCGACAGAGCGAGAGCTGAGGGAGGCAGTCGCCCAGCTTGACCATGCCGACCTCACATCGGAGTATGCAGGCCAAGGGATTGAGTGGAAATTCAATCCGCCTCGTTCTCCTCATTTCGGCGGCGTGTTCGAACGGATCGTGCGCTCCATGAAGCAAGTTCTCCAGACTGTGCTGTACAAGGCTGATTTAACTGAAGAAGAGCTCCAGACAGTATTGGTGCAGGCCGAGGCTCTCATCAACTCGCGGCCATTGACAACGCTTTCGGAGGAAAGTGAAGACCTGGAGCCGCTAACGCCTTTGCATTTCTTGGTTGGCCATTCGAGAGTTGCAACAGCGTTGGAAGCAACCCCGGAGGGGGGTCTGCATCGTCGCTGGCAGTTGCTTCAGGATCTGATGAAGCGCATTTGGAAGAGGTGGCTCCGCGAGATTGTTGCTCGAGCCAATTTGGAGACGAAGTGGCACCGTGATAGTGCATCGGTTACAGTCGGCAAAATCCTGATGATGCTGGACGAATCGCTCCCAAGGACTCAGTGGCCGCTTGGTCGAGTGGTCGCTACGTATCCTGGAAAGGACGGGAAGGTGCGCGTAGTGGACGTGAAGGTCAAAGGGAAGGTGTACAAGCGCAGCGTCCACCGCTTGGTGCCCCTAGATGTGGAACCGTCGGCAGTCAAGGTGACTCTCCCAGCCTCTGCCGAAGTCCGGCTAAGTGATCTCAATGAGTGACATTAACTGGCATGCTCGCCGTTGTTAATGCTGTGTATCAAGTTAGGGTTTTGCCCAATAGCGTATAGGCATTAGATTCGCTCAGTTTTCCCACGTTCGCTCATGAGGGAGGGAATGTTACGTTTTCTTATTCTTAGTACTCCCTTGTGCCATTGTTCCAGCAGATGCTGCAGGTGTCGCTGACCTGCACAGTTTGTACGAGTACTTGTAGATTTATGCAGTGCGTGTCTACAGCTGTATTTGAATGTGTGCGTAGTGCACAGTTGCAGTTGTCCCCTAGGCGCTGTGTCTGTGATACGTGATTTGTAGTGCGTGTTAGCTTACACGTGGGAATGCTACGCGCTTTCATGTGACCTGCGTTACTTCCTTCTCACTGTACTTCCTTTTATGCATGTATCGCTGGCATATGCGACACGGGCCGGCCGGGCCGGAGTGTGTATTGGTTTTGGAAGCATGTGCCTTTTGTTCTGTGAGTTGTTCGCATGCACATGTTGCTGGCCGGGTGGTAATTTTTGGTTCTTGTTGTGTTGGACCAGTGCTCTAGATTCTACAAGTTTGTAGCTGTTGTGATTTTCCTATGTTCCATGGGTCTGAAGAATTGTGTTCTCCTGAGTGGAGTAAAACTGAACTGTGATTCGATTGTGTGCGGAAACCCGGTGTTGACGAAAGTGTGTTGACCTGGGCGCTGAGGAAAAGTAACAAGCACACACGCACGCATCACACATACCACACTTCCAATCAGCATTAATGCGATAGCACCTACCCTGTTCCGGATTATAGCCATAATGACCGAAATGTTGACCTATTGAACGGAACTGAAAACGTTGACAATGAAGCTGTTTAGAGTAAGCCAGGGTAACTATAAACAAAAGCAATACACACCAATGAAAGGTTGCTAGAATAGTCAGAGAACAGATCCATCATGGCAGAACACAAGAGGTAGTCGAGTGCTGGTTCGTAGGAATATACTTACCAGTTGAGAGGGTATAATAGAGACGCAGCTCCGTGTACACACGCACTGACCTGTAGTTGCACGTACACACACGCACCCACGCGCACACACACGCACACACACATATACACACAGCACAGTACGGACTCAGTCAATCAGATTTCACGGAGCAGCACTGTAGTAGCAGTGCATGTAGTAGTGTATCAGAAAAGCTGAATCTTGAATCATCTACAGTTGCGCTCACTGAAATCCGGCCCAAAGTGCAAAGCTGGCGCCCTGGACCAGTTCCGATTACATCATTGTGGGTGTACATGTGTACGTCCAGCCGCATTTATTCCACTGCCAGGGCGTCAAGGGCCGTGGAAGTTGAGGGTGCCAGTTTTACACATTGGGTCGGATTTCAGTGAGCGCAACTGTACTAGGGAAATCAATGGCAAATCACTGAGAAGAGATGCTGGTAGTAATAGTATAGTATGCATCAAATACTGGAGTACTCACTAAACTAAGCTTGCTTGATGTGATGATGATTCGACGCTCAAACAACATACTGCAAACAGCACACAAAACACGATACAGGACAGTGTTAAAACAGTTATTGTTCCAATTGGTCACAAGACATGTAGCAGCAGCAGCAGCATGGGACACACAGTGGTCATCATATACAGTATACCTATACTGGTATATACCTACATATATACATGTATGTACACACAGTGATTACATGTCCAGTATCAGCAGTGCAAGGCAATAGTACCATTGCCCCCCCCCCCCCCCCCCCCCCCACTGTATTGCTTTCCAGTTGCTGTTTTCTTTCTCGGCAGGGAGTGGGTATTAGATCAAGGCTGCCAAGTGTAGTTCAATGCTCAACAACAAGAAAAGTGAAGATTAGCTGTACCCCATAGTGTAGTGTGCACAGTTGAATCTACAGGAATACCTGCCGTGGCATGCAGTGCGTGCGTCAGCCAAACACAGTATGTTGTCACATAAGGGTAGGTACAATGAAGTCATTACTTCACAGGTAGAAAAGTGACAGGGGGTGGAAAGTAGAGATGGGGCGGATCGACAGAACTCTACTGCACTATACACCAGGAGTACTTACGCAGCAAACAGATGGAGAATATACACTGGGTCAATGTTTGTGATGTACTCTGTCAAGTTGATCTATTATACAGCACAATACGAAAACACGAACGACGACAGTCAGGACAGCAAAAGCAGCAGCAACAGCAACAGCAACAGCAGCAACAGCAACAGCAGCAACAGCAACAGCAGCAACAACAGCAACAGTAGCAGCAACAGTAGCAGCAACAACAAAAAATCGAGTTATAAATCGAGACCTACCAACTAGTGTTGAAACGAGCGTATCTATAACAAACGAGCGATCAGTTCCACTAACGAGCAACCTATCGAGCGAGCTAACGAGTTTCATTGATGTGGCAAATATGATTTTTTGAATAATTTTTTTCTAAGTTCGATTTTTTTCAGCTGGTTCAAATTATCACCGCCGGCATTTGGGGTTGCTGCTGCTTCACTTCGGACTGCTGTTTGGTTTCGAGATGTCTTTTCAGCGCCGTCGTCGAGTAGCCTTTGTAAGAATAGACCGTTTTGCAAAGATTGCAAGTAGCCCTGGTCTTCGCTGCATCGCGGGAGAAAACTTCCAAACGACTGAGCGTAACTTTCACTCGAATGGAGAGGTGACCGAAGCATATCCTGCGACAGGTCAGCAGATGCGGAACAAGACATCAGTAGAGTCCACCAAAGCTGCAACGACAACTGAAACAACTCAAGTGTCGTGCAGGCATACAGTCACTGTAACTGCGAGTGATTTTCACTTTGCGCGAGACTGGACTCTCGATTGACCAGGGAGTCGTAAAATATTTTACGACTCCCCGGTCGACATGTACTGCCATGTGTACGGACTACGGTGTTCGTTAGTGCAAACGAGCTGGCCGCAAAAACGAGCCGAGTTTCTGGCGAGCGAGCTAACGAGTATCTGGTGAGATCGTTTCAACACTACTACCAACCCATAACCCCCTGGCCAGAAAGTTGCCAGAAACCCTGACACATTCTTCAACAAGTTAATGCTGACACGGGGACAGTGTGGCAATTCGTGCAGCGTCAACACTGCACTGGGGGTTCACTGTTATGTGTATACTTGTGCATGCACGTCTTCGTGCAGGTGAGTGTATGCTTGTGCATGCACGTCTTCGTGCAGGTGAGTGTATGCTTGTGCATGCACGTCTTCGTGCAGGTGAGTGTATGCTTGTGCATGCACGTCTTCATGCAGTGAGTGTATGCTTGTGCATGCACGTCTTCGTGCAGGTGAGTGTATGCTTGTGCATGCACGTCTTCGTGCAGGTGAGTGTATGCTTGTGCATGCACGTCTTCGTGCAGTGAGTGTATGCTTGTGCATGCACGTCTTCGTGCAGGTGAGTGTATGCTTGTGCATGCACGTCTTCGTGCAGGTGAGTGTATGCTTGTGCATGCACGTCTTCGTGCAGTGAGTGTATGCTTGTGCATGCACGTCTTCGTGCAGTGAGTGTATGCTTGTGCATGCACGTCTTCGTGCAGGTGAGTGTATGCTTGTGCATGCACGTCTTCGTGCAGTGAGTGTATGCTTGTGCATGCACGTCTTCATGCAGTGAGTGTATGCTTGTGCATGCACGTCTTCGTGCAGTGAGTGTATGCTTGTGCATGGATGTCTTCATGCAGCGAGTGTACGTGTGTGAATGCTTGCGCATGCCACACGGCTCCGTGCCACATGACTTCAGTTCAGAGAAGTACACATGACACAGCACAAACATTCGTGGAACTAGTGAACTGATGAGGGGTGAAATCCCCAAACACTGTGTATTGAGCAGGGAGTAGTACTTTCTTGTAGGTTTGCCGAGCAAAAGGTTCAATGGACTTCTCATGTGCCCTGGGTGGTAGTCTTGAGTTGGTCAAGTGCCAAGTCAAGTCGGCAGGAAAAGTGCAAGCTCCCACATCTCTAGAGAGCAGCTCTCAATTCCTAGTCAACATGTTCTACATGATAATCACATACTGTATGCAATCGTGCACTATGCAGCGGCATGAGCAGGGTGGACATGTGACAAGATAACATACACCATATTATCATTCTTGAGTAGTGACAGTGAGCAATACCCCAGTATCGGGCAAATACCCCAGTCCGGCAAATACCCGGAAACCCAGGATGACAAACACCCACGTGTGGCAAAGACCCCAGGGTAAATATGACACGCACTCCAGACTCAGCCAACTCACAGACTCTGGTATAGATGAAAGCTTCTGTGGATCCGGGGTTTGAAACGAGAACGCTTGTCCAGACTCGAGACCATCCGGTATGACTAGATATCTCTCACCAGCTGCTGGCATGGGGTTTTGGTAAAGAGACTTCAGCAGAGGTACTACTAGTTCACCCTACACACCAGCCAAGTATACACATACAGCAAGTCAACAACACTGTGTTAGAAGTGATGAGAGAGTGAGAGAGAGAGAGAGAGAGAGTGAGAGAGAGTGAGAGAGAGAGAGAGAGAGAGAGAGAGAGAGAGAGAGAGAGAGAGAGAGAGAGAGAGAGAGAGAGAGAGAGAGAGAGAGAGAGAGGGGGAGATAGAGAGATAGAGATAGAGAGAGAGAGAGAGAGAGAGAGAGAGAGAGAGAGAGAGAGAGAGAGAGAGAGAGAGAGAGAGAGAGAGAGAGAGAGAGAGAGAGAGAGAGAGAGAGAGAGAGAGAGAGAGAGAGAGAGACATACCTGGCCATCCAATCGTAATTCTGCAACCTTGTCTAAAATGTTGTAGAAGAATTCAAACCAGGGAAGGAGGCTGGACAAGCAAAGATACATAAATCAATAGAAGTGACAATACACATGACTATGAATGAGATGCTCAGCATTCCAAACCAACACAAGGACATGCTATCCAATACGGGCAATAGTAGGGTGCACAATAGCCTGAACGGCTGTCCAGTTCAATCACAAAACACATGTTTTGGGCCTTCTTAGCTGTACATGCACATCAGAGCAGATCAGCAGGTCGCTATGCAACCCATCATCAACCACACGCAGAAAGCAGTGTGCAGCCCATCATCAACCACACACAGAAAGCAGTGTTCAGCCTGGAGAGCATTACATAATACCAAACCCTAACCAGACATTAACATTACATGACAGCAAACCCTAGCTAGACATTAACATGGACAACGACTATGACAAGATGTTGACAACATTGAGAAATCCGAATGTGAGTGGGCAATGGCTGAACTGCACTGACTCACCTAACAAAACACAGACATAGAGACGAATCTGGTGGATAGCGGCAGAATCCAAAGCGGAACTTTCCATCGATGCCCGTCAGGACAAACGAGAAGTGCTGCACAGCTCCCCTGCAATATTACACACACATGCGCACGGGCGGACACACATGTGCACGCACACGCACGCACGCACACACACACACACACAAGCACAGAGAACAACACTGCAAAGCTGGAATTCACAACACGAAGCATCCATTGAGTTGGCCATCTGCTCTCTACACCTATTCAGGCACAGAAGACACCTTAAAACCTGCTTTTGAAAATCTAAAGCTATAACTGTTTCATCCCAAACCCGCTAGTATCGGTATGAGTGTGGAACCGTACTTTACTTGCATTTAGAGCTAGAACACAGCAGATACACAGATGAAAGGGGAACACTCGATGCCCAGACACCTGCCCTCCGCTCAGACTGCCCTCCGCACCCAACTAACACAGCTCCAGAAACAGCAAGAGAAATCTACTATGGACAGTATGGTCATTGAACAACACGAATACAACTCACAAACGTCCAATGAATAGTGAACAAGCTAACCTGCTCACAATAGTGACAATACGCTTACCTTTCTGGTTTGCAGGCGTAACAAAACCATGGTGCCTGATTGATGGTGTCCTAGAGATGAAATACACACACACACACACACACACACACACACACACACACACGCGCACGCACGCGCACGCGCGCGCACGCACACACCCACCCTCGCACGCACACACCCACGCACGCGCACGCACACATGCCAAGCACACATCAACGGCACCGGCAGAGATAGTCAAGTTAGTCGTCTCCATTGGACCTTTGTTCTGTACAGCATGCACTGCGCACAGTGACACACTGTTGATGTTCCTTTGTGTAGAAACACACCCTACGAGTACCGTAAAGTACCGCAAGAGCGCCCAATCTCAAGAGAGAGAGAGCCCCACTTTGATTTTACAGCCAGGGAAAAGAAAATCATATGGTAGAGTGCAACATAGTTTGTACAGTGTGAGAACCTTATTGTACTTAGGTCACACTTAGTATGATTTCATGTGGAGCTCCAGCGTGCGATGTGTGTACAAGGGACTTGCCGTATAACCGTCAGACAGGACACCACCTCCACAGCACGACCACGAAAGGACGAGTTGGTGGGGCACTCTCGCGGTACTTTTACTGTAATAGTATGGGCTGCTCAAGTGCTAAAAATAGCAGTGCTCCAGCAGCATGGATTTAATTAGCCTGCTCAAGCTCAACTGATATGAGTGAACTGCCTGGAGCACTGCGTATTGAGCAGAGAGTAGTGCTTTCCTGCAGGTCCGCCCGAGTGGACGGTTCGACGTGCTTCACGTAAGCCTCACACTACAGTCGTAAGTCAGTCAAGTGTCAGCCAACGCTCAGAGCAGCACTGCCCATGGGTTTGCTCCGGCTCACCATCGCATCTACCACTACTACATCATGCCACATAGAGGGGAGCGTTCCCGCATTAGCATGATCAAATCACGGCCAAAATTTTACAATGAGCCAGTTCTGAGTGCTTGCCCCCCTCCCTCGGAATCTAATAGAGTATACCGGTACAGTTTCCAACCATAAAAAAAACTATCACTCACCGAATCGCATTCACTTTCGTCGGGAAATGTCGTCACAATATTCGCTGTAACCGGAAACAACAAGGTAAAGAAAACGGGAAATGATACAACAAAACAATGAATAATTACATGTAGCACTGTATAGTAATCCAGCTTAGTCCCGGCCGACGCAAATACCCGTACGCACGCCGGTTTTCAATACGGACAATCGTCCCATAAGCCTGGTACAGTGAAACCTGTCTAAGACGACCGCTCAAGGCACCTTAAAAACGTGGTCCCTGTGTTACAAGTGGTCTCTTTAGGCAGGGTCATTTGACTGGAAACGAGAGAGCTTGGAAGCTCAGGGCCCTGCGCTATGCTTTTATGCTTTTTTGCCTAGCTCATCGTACATGTTATAAGAACTGATGGGAATGTCTTTTTCGTTGATTGGCCACATCACTGTATTGCAAAAACGTTTCAATCGGTTTGCTTATGAGTTAGGCAAAAGTATTTGCAGAATTTATTGCGGATTGTTATTTCTCTAATAATCATCTACTTTTGTTTTGCTCCTTCTTTTCTTTTTATCTCCTTATATTGTAAATCAACAAATTTTGGCCGATGAGAAATAGAAACCTCTCTATTAGAGAGGTTAAGATGCACGTTATTTCCGACGTGACGCGCAGTTTCACGTCAAATTTGAAATCGATCGGTATTTTTGCTCTCACATGCATCCATTGCTCAATCATGCATCATTTGCCTATATGACAAACGTTGGCCTGCGATTTACTTTGGCCGGTTGGTACCAAGCGGCGAAATCAGCGAAATTAAATCGCCAGCGAACATTAGTTGATTTTAATACAGTGATCGGATTTTCTGGCCTTTTTGTAGTAATACATGTGCATTGACCTGTTGAGCCAATGACGACGCCGAATGCATGGTTGCCTGTGGAGCACATCACATAACTTTACAATCTCCTAAAATACGTATCCTGTCCGACGGCAAAAGAGGCTGCAGATTTAGTTTTTCTGCGCGTCGACGGGATGTCTGCGACGCGAAAGTTCAGCTCGCGTTATTTGGCTCGCAAGTCGAAAAATCAACGCGAGTGACCTGCTGCTCACGTCGAAATTTGGACATTACATAAATTTACAGTCTCCTATATAAAAACGTATCCTGTTCGACGGCAAAAGAGGCTGCAGATTTAGTTTTTCTGCGCGTCGACGGGATGTCTGTCCTGACGTTTACTGGGACCGGCGCTGACTCTGCCGATCACGGGCGTTCTGGACTCGACGAGATGTCTGTCCTGACGTTTCCTGGGATCGGCTTAGACTCTGCCGATCACGGGCGTTCTGGACTCAAAGGGATGTCTGTCCTGACGTTGCCTGGTACCGCCGGACTCTACCGATCACGGGCGTTCTGGAGTCGACGGGATCTCTCTTCCGACGTTTCCTGTGACCGGCACTGAATCGCTCGTTCACGCTTATTTTGGAGACGACGGGATCTCTCTTCCAAAGTATGTTTATGCTGACGCATCCTATCACCTAATCGGCGTCTATTCTAATTTAATTTCCTCTTCGTCTCCCTATTACTTTCCAAATCTCCCTCTACATCAGGGAGTCGTATACATAATACGACGAATATTGGTACGGTACGGGACAGATACAGGAGCCCGCAAATATTGTGGACAGCTGTTATGTACAATCCTGTAGAGCCTTTGTAGTCACAGATACGGGACAGATACGGGATAGCTCCAGCCGTGACACAAACAAACAAACAAACAAACAAACAAACACCAAATTAAAGCTGTGTGGACCCTGGCTAGCGCCAGACGTTACTGAAGTAACGTCTTCTGCATAGCTACGGGAATAAAGACTTATTGGGAAGTGGTCCTCTTGGACAGGTGATCGTCTTATCAGAGCGGTCGCCTTGACAGGTTTTACTGTATTAGTAGTGACACAAGTACAGTGCTACTCAAGGAAACCAGATCACAAGTACAGTGCTACTCAAGGAAACCAGATCACAAGTACAGTGCTACTCAAGGAAACCAGATCAACCGAGCCATTGCCATGGCCTGAACCAATGCACAGCGCCCGGCCGAATGAAACTCACTCAATCAGATTTCACTCAGCACTTTAGAAACGGCAAAATGGCACAAAACTGACAAGGAGTACTGAGACATTCGGTGACCTGAGATATTCGGTGACCTGACACCTAGCTCCAACACTTCTCCTAGGCGCAAACCAACAATCTTCCAACTTGGAAGGCTCAGGTTCAGAAAGGTCCAAGTGGGGAAGGAAAGCGCAACGAAGAAGAGCACGAGCTACGCCTCACAGCAACAAAGAATGCCGAAAGTTACTGGATGATGACGAAACTAGTAAGACTATTGGACATACCGGCCTTACTACAACTCGACGACGCAAAGTAACAGACCACCCAACTTGGGAGGCTCAAGTTTATGTAATAAACATAGAAAGGGGAAGCTACAGTCCATTCATCAGAAACTGGCCCGCTGGCTTTTGAAAGTCGGATTTGGGCCAAATTGAGGATCAAAAACCCACTTTAACCCTTTAGGGGTCGAATTGTTTTGAGGATTGTTCGTCAAATTTGAAGCGGCATTAAAAAGTATCAAACTGAACAACCGTTCACAATTACTAACATAACACCTATATTTTTCCGAACAAGGACAGAAAAAGGAATCCAATAGAGAAAACCAGAGCTCAATCTGACAATGTGAGGTTGCCAGACCTTGCTCTAAATGTAGGAAATGCTTGCAAAATGGACGGAAACCCAAAACCAAAGTCAGAGTGGACCAAACAGATTGCCAATAGTCTCTGGTAATGTGATCTGTTGTGACAGAGTTGATCGTGGTTTCCTACAAAGAGTGACAGAATGATCCCAATCTAAAACAAAATTTTACCGCATTCATGAGCTGGTGCATACTCAGACAGTTGAACGTCAACTTTTTCTTCGTGCCTGTAGTTCAAAGCTTTTAGTTGCAACCTACCTAGAAAACACAGGTTTCGAGTAGAAAATTGTCTTGAGAATCAAATTGCCAAAAATCCAATAATAAAAAAAGTCAAAGAATTGACAAAAATTGGTGATCAAAGCACTGCATGTGTGACATACGGATTAATCCGTACTATGACCCCTAAAGGGTTAAATCTCAAAAATCTGGGTTTTGTATCTGCTTCTCCATACATTTTGCCATGGCCTGCCTACCTGTCCTAATTTTGTAAAACCTGGCTGAATTTCTATTTCCCTGTTCTTGGACTTTTCTGGCCTCAAATGTGGCAAGGAGTAATTGCACGGGTCGCACAATTCAGGATGTACTGTTGTTTTCACGATATCAACAACTATGTGAGAGAGACACCAAAAAGTTAGGGTGCCAGTTTCCAATGAATGGACTGTAAGCGAAGACGAGTTGTGACAAACCGACACGCCAACATCCTACTGAACTCCACTATCATGTAAATATGATGGACTAGTTATGTGGAATAACCAGTAGTTCCACACGACGTACGTTTTGCCGCATAGATCTCGCTGAGTGTATATGATCTGGTTACATTGGTGGACAGTTAGTCATAACTCGTAACATTTCGTCCTTCTCCTTTTTACCATAATTAAATTGGCTCACCATCCGAGTTCCACTTTAGAAACACGTGGTGTTCGCCTTGACACACATGTACACACAAATACCTGGTTCACACAGAAGCCCAGTCCCCTCTTCAACAAAAATCCTGGCTTTTCTAACCGATATGTACTACATGTAGTGCTAGAGAGGTGTAGTGAATTATCATAGGGCAGCTTTATCGCAAGTCACTGACTCACTCCCACCGCACCGCCCCCAGCCTGGCCAAACTGGCTGGGGATTCATGCGGGAGGAAGGATCCCTGCCCCAACCTGTAAGTTACGTAACCCAGTCTGTTGAGAGATATAAATAATTATTCTTATCACGGTACAGCACAATAACAGCAAATTTCCCCCATGACAGCCCATAAAAAATGCCTTATCAACGTCCAGCCTCCCACTACACCAACTAAGCAGCCTTGAGGAGTCAGCAGATTGGTTCACACATACCCGAATTATTCATATTTTCAACCGCTCCCATTAAACCCTCTGCATAAGGATGGTCCACGGCGTTGCCCTCTAGGGTCCCAAATTTAGTGGAGAACATGTGGAGAACAATTTGTGCACAAAGTGTGTATAAAAAGAGTGACTTATTGGCAGCACTAGTACTTGTCTGATCAGCTGAAGCTAAAGAAGGGAGCCTCTCTGACTTCACACGAGTGTTGGACATGAAATGAAGGTCATGCCAACCCGAGTGTTCATTCCACCATTTCAGCTCTGTGTCAGAGCAAAGCAAGCCTACATGTTCTACACTGATTTAAAATGTTCACGAGATTTCAGGAGAAGCACCGTGGACCGTCCATACGCAAAGGTCTATTTCAAAGCAAGCTTCGGTCTCTTCGCAAATAACATGCAAAATCTTTCCATGGGTACTTTCAATGCCCTTCTTTAGTCCAACAGCTCTTGCCTCCTAGGCTAGAATCTATTTCAAAACGTAAAATGAATACAAACAATAGACAAATGAAACCAACAGTCATGCCAACATACAAATACAACTGCAGAACTACAAACGAAGGAGCAAGTTGTCGTCACCTTCAGCGTGTTTGAATTACATGCACTGATATTACGCTGAACAGTATGACACACCATGAATACTACATGGGTACAACCTGACAACGACAAGTACATGTAATTGAATTCGAGTGAATCCACACACTCAACACGAATCATTTGATCAAAATATAACACCAAAGAGAGCAGGAAGTGCAGCCCTGCAGTATAGGTACCCAGTGTGTTTTCCGTGAGTTTGGTGTTAGCTAGAATGCATTAGAGGGCTCAGTAACAATGCAAGGTTTTTTTTCCAACTGCAAAAAAATCGTTCATGACAGATTACCTGTTTCTTGGTCATTCAGAGGAGCTTCCACCTCCAAGAAAGCTTCATACAGCTTTTCGGCAGCAAGCCTGTGGCAACAGACGCAAGAGCAACACTCAGTTTCCTTATACCGGCTTCGGCAATGACACTCTTCTACGGGTGTGCTTACGCTATTCGTGAGTCCATCCTTTCCAATTTCGTCAGAGGAATCAGGCCAAATCCTAATACTCATCAGTTTGACATGCCTTTGCTTGATTTGCAACTGAGGCATGCACGCACATCTTCTGCCAATGACACCAACGAAGTGGGAACATCAGGCTCGAAATCTACAGGATTCAGCTCAGCTGTTTCCCGATGTTTTACCCACGAAACCAATGTGCTGTTGACCTACACAACCTAGAAACTCATCGTCATCTCTCTCTCTCGCTTTCTCAAGCCTCCACTGCTCCACAGTCTTTCGCAGTGTCAGTGCCACAGACAGACTGGTGCAGCACACAGGCCAGGTAGCCGTTCATGCAGTGTTCATATCCAGTCAGGATCAAGATATCAACCAACCGACCCATTTTTGCCGTGCGGTCAGCTGTCTGTTGTCGGATGAGTGACCGTGTTGCACTGCCACTCGATCGAACAGACCGACGGTGGAATTCGTATTATTATGACTCTCCTCACTAGCCACACGTACACACACACAAGCGTATGCCGTTGTCGTACATAGCTACATCGCGATCACGTCGTTTTCATGCGTGTTTTGTAGGTTTTTAGTGCCGCGCAGGCGCGATTCTAGCGATTATGCAATATGCAACAGACAAGAACTGCAAAAGTCATCAGCGCGCGTTGCCAAGAGCCAAACTCAAGAGCCACACACGTTTGGTTGCGTTGTAGTGGTCTTCTGTTCCTACTGTCTGTTCGATATTGCTGTGGAGTTCAATCCTTCAGTTACCTGCGAAAATGGCTGTTCCCCCGTGCTACTCTGATCTTGGCAAGGATGCCAGCGATTTGTTCTCAAAGGGATACAACTTTGGTGATGTGAAGTTGGATGTTTCAACCACTTCTGCTGGCAAAACTGGTTTCAAGGCTGCGGCCACCTCCCATGGCGATGGCCCTGATGGAGCTTCGCGCCGTGTGTCGGGCAGTTTGGAGCTGAAGCGTGAAGTGTACAAAAATGAGAGCAAGGATATCACCGTCACAAGCAAGTGGGCCACTGACAACACCGTCAACACAACTCTCACTGCCAACAATTTTGGTCTGGAGAATAACAAGGTGCGGCATATCTCATGATGTTTTCTTTAGGTTAGAATCTAGGAGTGCGTGGTAAAGGAATTTTTTATTTGAGGAATGGGCAAGGTGTGTATGGACACCTGTAGAGTGTCCTAATGACACTAATCTGTGGTCGCGTGGGATGCAAAATCGAATACGATGCTCAAATGTACCCGAATCTATCGAAGGGTACCTAAGGCTTTTAAGTTGACAACAAGGAACTGTGCAATTATATTGCTCGTTACAATGCTGCGCATGACTGCACCAATACAAACAGTTAACTACAGTCTGGCCGATGCTTGTCAATGTAGACATACCAGCACAAGGGGAAAGCAACAGGTGATGCATGGAGATGTGAATACCTTCTCACTTGTATCAATACTGGGTCATTGCTTGCTGGAGTAACTGACTGACAGTGAAACAAGGTTGGGAATTTCCCCATGTCTTGAACTCTCTGAGCCATACAACCAAGAGTAGAGATAAACAAGAGTGCAACTCCGCATCTCTTCTGCACAATCTGCAGTTACATCCGCCCATGGCAGAATTTTTTTGTTGACGGGACCTTTTTTCAGAAAACATGACGTGTGTCGTACTAGCACGCACATGTTTGCCACAGAGCAGTGTGAGAGCCCTTGTAATGTAAAACACAGAGTGCACGAGGCAAAACTTCCCAAAGACTCTCAGCGCGTGCGTCGTCCGGTTTGAATTATGATTTCCAGAAAGGATGACGTCAACGAAAAATTCCGCCGTGGGCCACACCTTCTCGAGTTGCACACGCTTGTTTATCTACTCTTGATACAACGCTTGGCCGCTTTACGGGTAGCCTTGGAGATACAGTTTGCTTGCAGATGAGACTAGATCTGTTGAGCATGTTGATTATTTCGAGTACATGATGGAACACGCTACCCATTGCCTGGGCACTGTGCATGTTATCACGAGTAAAAAAAAGCTCCCAAGAGTGTTCAACTTTGCGTACAGGGTCTCCGGCGACGAAAACTCACATCTCGTGTTCCAAGTACGATTTGTACTACGTACCCCGAAGGCTAGCACGTGCGCACAGTCCAAATATCTGCCATGATCATTCTACCAGGCACACATGTTTTGCACCAGCAGATCCAGCCACACAACGTGCGTGCGCATGTCAAAAAAATGCAATACAGGCAATGCAGTACATTGGCAGTACGCGAATAAACTTTAAAACACCGAAAATCAGAAATCGCAGTATGCAAAACGAACCCAGTTGGTTGGCAGCTCTGGTGTAGCAAAGTTTCACTGGCGTTAACATGGTGATGCTATGCTATCAAAAGTTCCCTGCACTTTGGGTAATGCCGAACGATGAAATGGAGAAATCTTTTACGGGGTCCGAGCTCCACCTGGACTCGCAAATTCCACGGAATTTTTACCATTGAAACTTTTCCTTTCGCGATGTTCTACAAAATTGTTAACAGGCGCTGGTCTGGAGGTGGATAGCAGACGTGCAGATATACTTGTGTATTAAGTCAGTCTGCTTTGATCGTGGTAGTGTTACTCATGGCGTTTAGTACTGTAAAATAGAAGACAAACACATGGGAACGAGTTATGACTGACTTTCTGACTGCTTATTATCTTGTTACAGTCGTGGATATTTGCTTCATAACTCGTTCCCATGTGTTTTTCTTCTTTTTTACGTTTCTTACTGGCTCAGTATCCCAGTTAAATTGTACGGTTATTATTCTGTTGTGTTGTTAGGTTACCCTGGAGGGTTTCTTTGTGCCGCACTCTGGCAAGCACAGCGGCAAGGTGAAGGGTGCCTACAAGCGGCCTCACTTTCACATGACCGACGAGGTGCAGGTCAAGAGCGAGGGTGTCGCTGTGTCCGCCACAGCTGTTGTCAAGAAGTGCGGCTTCTATGCGGGATACCAGGTGAGCAGGAGGGACAGCCAGACCCCAGATCTCAAAATAATTGCTCTCTCTCCCCCTCTTTCTTTCTTATCGAAAGAAACGCAACCAACGGACACCGATTTGTTTTGACGGGAACGTTTTTCGTTGTAGATTGGTTTTGTTTCTTTCGATAATTGCCTTCTTATCTCCGACTAGAAGTCTCGGTCTCTCTCTCTCTCTCTCTCTCTCTCTCTCCTCTCTTCGTCTATCTAGCTGTAGAGCTGCCAGCATCATGGCAGTGTGTCTGTGAAATTATCCAGTCCCTTGCTTGGTGGTCCCAGGCCACTCAGTCTGCTTCAGCATGCCCTGTATAGTGTGTGTGTCAGTATACTTGATTACGCAGTCTGTTCACTGAAAGCAAGTAAAAATGGGGCTCACTGTCATTTTCTGTTGAGTGTGATGATGGGCAGAACTGACGGTTTGCTGGCAACTGGTGACTTCTCGTGGTCATGCTTCACTGACACTCCACGTGTTTAGGATATTTCCATGGTGCAACACCCCTGTTACTTGTTAGCCTCTAGGACAGTGATTGCTGTGGTAGAAGAACACATTTTATCTGTGTGTGTGTTTGTGTAGGGTACTTACAGCCAGTACCATGGTGGCTTCAAGGACAGCAACTTTGCTGTGGGATTCGCTGCTAAGGACTTCAGTCTGCACACTACCTGCATCAACCATGGTTCTCATGTGCATGGATCTCTCTTCCACTCGGTGAGTTGATTAGAGCCGGAGCGAGTACAGTTGTTCCGCCTGTTGCCACGTCAGCTTGACATCTTATCTTATCTTATCTTGTTGTTGGAACTCTGTGTGGGTGAGAGAGAATGACTGGAATAACATTTGTGCTTCAGTGCCTGTATGGGTGAGAGAATAACTGGAATAACGTGTGTGCTTCAGTGTCTGTATGACTGCATTACTATCTTTACCTACCTCTTGTCTTCCAATGTGCAGGGTTATAGCATGCGTGCACTGGTCTTGACTCGTGCTTTAGAATGTATGGCCTGCTCCTGAGGCTGCATGCGTGATTTCTGTTCTCCCATTCTGGAGATAATAGTGATCTGAATTCGGTACATTTTGTTTGTGTGTGTGTGCGTGTGTGTGTGTGTCTAGGTGAGCTCCAAGCTTGACCTAGGTGTTGCTCTGAGGTGGGCTGCTGGTGCTGATGGTGCTCACTTCTCTATTGGCTCCAAGTACAGCTGCTGCCCAGGTACCATTATCCGTAGCAAGTTCAACTCTGACGGTGAGCTTGGTCTCTCCTACAAGCAAGAGCTCAACTCGAATGTCAACGTCACCCTGTCCGCTCAGGTAGGCTGATACTAGAGACACGGGGAAGACTCTGTGTAGGGCTTGAAAGTCATGACGTCAAACACAACTGGTTGTTGGGGATCTTGCGTGATTTTCTACGTTTGATTCACTCCTCGGGTATTCAGCCTACAGTCAACTCTGACCACGATTCTACGACTCAAACACTTTTGATCGGCGATTGTACACTTGTCAGTTGAAAAGCGACTGAATCACCATGGTAATTCACGTCCAGGCGTGGTTTTGGCCGTAGTCTGAATAGCCTATACGTGTGCAGGAGACCTCTTCAGATGTTCTTTTCTCCGTACAGAACTGGGATCTGTTGGATCCCAACACAACATTGCCATGGCGATGACCTAGCAGTACATTCGAACGCTGTTCTCCACTCTTAGTTGTAGCCTGCTTGAGCGTGTTGCTAGCGAGCTATGTGCCCATTCAATCTGAACTAAGCCACCAAACGTTCTTTTATTTTTTTAAGTAATGCTACTGTCTCGCCCAAGAGCAGGGCTCTCTGATTCCTACAATACCAGCTCTGTTCCTCGCTATGTATTGTTAACCCGGAAACCTTCGTCGTTTTCGCGACAGATGGGAAATCGCAAAAAGCAAGCCGGCGCGAAACGTAGAGTAAAGAAGCTGAGGAAATCGACTCCAATCGCGAACATCTCCAGGTGCGAATTTGTCTGTGCTCGCAAATGGCGAACTAAGATCAGTGCGAACGTTGAACTAAGATCAGTGCGAACGTTGAACTAAGATCAGTGGGTAACTAAGATCAGTGCGAACGTTGAACTAAGATCAGTGGGTAACTAAGATCAGTGCGAACGTTGAACTAAGATCAGTGTGAACTAAGATCAGTGGGTAACTAAGATCAGTGCGAACGTTGAACTAAGATCAGTGCGAACGTTGAACTAAGATCAGTGGGTAACTAAGATCAGTGCGAACGTTGAACTAAGATCAGTGCGAACGTTGAACTAAGATCAGTGCGAACGTTGAACTAAGATCAGTGCGAACGTTGAACTAAGATCAGTGTGAACTAAGATCAGTGTGAACGTTGCAGGACTTACAGTATCTCTACATTGCACTGTGAAGCTTTGCATCCAAGCCTCTGGGTCATCCTAATAAAGATATTATTATCTCTGAGTTTTGCTTATGTGTGTGCACGTGGTACATGGTGTGTTGCTTTTCCAGGTCGACACCAAGGCTCTTGCCCTTCCCTCTCACCGTCTCGGTCTCGGACTGGACTTCTGCGCCTAGGCCGCTCAATTGCATCGCTACTGCGTGATGATGTGGCTGGTGTTGGCCTCCTCGAGTGCGTGTGTATGTGTGCTAGCTGGCTAGCTAGCTGTAGGGTTGCAGTGGTTGAACCACAAGACCACTACTTCTGCTGCTGCTGACATTGACTTCCGTTTTCTGTTGTAGCATCTTCTCATCTTTTTTTTATTCCTATCTCTTGCCTGCTTGTGTGTCCTCGTCTTCTGTCAATGTCAACAGCACTTGTGCCGGTGAGCCAATCAGTCAGTTGCTTTGTGTTACTGGCTTGCCTCCCATCTCTGCAAGCAAAGCATGCACTCACCATGCACACTCACACTCACTCCCTTTCTCTTAGCGGCCATTCACCTGCTAATCCATTGCGCGGGTTTGGTCTGTCTGTCAAGTTCTGTCGTCCTCTTCTAGTAGTATATGTTATTAAATTCTCTCAGGCAGCAGTGGTAATTTATTGGCCATGCTGTGCGGTGATGTCCTGTACTGCACTATCATCGTCATCACTGCCGCGCTGTTGGAGTTCCTGCTAGTAGTCTGCTTTCGAATGGAGCCGATGTTTCATGACTGTGCTCACCAATTTAGGGTGTTTGCTTCTCAATGTTGTCTTTTAATTTCCCCGTGGCAAGCAACCATTCTACTAGTAGGTGCGCGGTGTTTTGCGTCTTGCGGGTTCACTGCCATTGCATGGTCATATTTCTGATCAGTCCACTTAGCTACAAACACTACTTCTTGTGCGGTTGCATTGGGTCTGTTTCACCTGCATCCTTGTCTGCAAGAAGGGAAAGCAGCAGCATTTGGCCTTGTTCAGAGTAGTTTGCACCAACCGCCACATCGCAGGGATTACCGCCTTCCTACAAGTTTATAACTCCTGTTGGTGTGCACTCTTGTAGCAGTTGAGCACTCTCATGTGGGGTAGTGCCTTTGCTGTTTGCGTTCACGCAGAGCTCACTGACTTGTCAGTTTGAGCACTCTCGCAAGGCACGTTCAGACCTGACATCTGGCTTTGGAAAATTTATTTTTCATTGCTGTCAGGTTCGGCCTCATTTCCTCTGTGCTGAGCTGATGAGTCCACAAAGGACGAAACAGTTCTGTCCGCAGATTGAGTTAAATAATAATAATTAATATTATTATGTAGTATCAAGAGTGCAGAACAACAAGGAGAATCAAGGCTTGTTTGCTGCTACTTCAAGTTTCATGCTTTCGCAATCATCAGGCAACATGAGGATGGGGTGCCAACCATGCCTGTATATATGCCAGGAGAGGGTGGGTCTTGTAGCGTTGTATGAAAAACTGTGTGAGAATGTGGCGCTGGGGGCTGTATAGGTTTCCGGGCTAGCGGGTTTATTTTAGGCAGGAGGCTGTGTCCAGAGTGTGTGGTTGTTGAAGGCAGGGGGCTGTAGAAGCAGTGCAATGT